CCTCCCTCACAAGGCCATTTTGAAAATAGCGACAGATAAATTCTCTAATCTCAAAGGGGCACAATTTTCCTTCAAAACAAGGTGCAAGTATATTATTCAAACCACACAATTAATAATAACTCAATACCCAAATTGAATCAGGATAAAATTTAAAGTTGAATATCAATGAAAAATTCAAAAAATGGATATTGAGGTTTTGAAGGCAAGGAATATGGAATAAATCATGTGGAAATATGGAATATACTATAAAAATGCAGCTAAATCTATTCAGAGATATGTAAATATGGAAATTGCCTGTTTAAAGATATTCTACACATTTTTTTCTTGGTAGAATACCAGTTTTCAAGATATTATTGCTCAAACTGCTAATGTGTTCCCATTTGATTAGAAAAAAAAAACGCTAGAAATTCTCGCTTCAAAAATTGAAAATGGATTAAACGGCCAACTTTTCAAATCTTTTTCAAAATTTGCAGTTTACGTCGACGAAGGTTATCCCATAGAATGGCATTTCATTAATAAATCGTTTTATGTCGATATTCCGAAAAGAGGGTTCAAAGTTACTGGAATGGTTTCCCCGCAACATCGATGGTCTGATCCCTTGGATAACTTACTCAAGCATGAGTAGCACGGATCAGTGAAAGCATTCTAAGCATTCTAGTGCGAAACGGTCCCCATTGGAACAAGTTTGTTACGGTGGCCATGTTGCGTGGCCGATCGATATTTGCTAATTTTTTCTGGTTCCTCCTTTGCGTGTATTGTTGTGAGATGCTCGCTAGGGGCGCTGAACAAAAGCGGCCTTGAATGAACTCACAATGACGAACGAGCAATTGACAGAACTGAACAAATTGAGTTATAATCGGCAGATGGCCGACACTACCACAGCGTTCACCGCGATGTAAATAGGCAACGGAAGGCTTCTGCTGATCACTCTCGACCCTTCAGTTCAACAGTCCCGTGCGAACATCTCAACAAGACTAAGGGAGTGCCAATAGGGCCCGAAATGGGTGCAGTTTAGCGGTAAGAACAAAGCATCGCTTGAATGTGACGGCAAACGTGTGTATTTGCGTCTCTAGTTCCGATTTTGTCCGTATTGCAGAATAAACAATTCCAACAGGCGAAGGCATCTCGGGTTGTTTGTTTTGGGACCGGGGCCTTCAGCCAGCCAGTCAGCCCAAACGGCCGTATACTTTCCTTTCGTTTCCAGAATTTTCCATTCAATAGCGTTTATTCACATAGCAAACATAATCTCAAGAATCACACACGAAATAAGGGACGAGAGACGACCATGGCGCGGGCCCCGGCGGCCTCGCTCGCTGACGTGGCGCCAGCCATGGCACCTCGGCTGTGGGAGTTGTGTGGTCGATCCCCGATGGAACCCACGCACACACACATCCACATCCCACACAAAAATATAATATGTATATAACGAGAAGCACACAAACACACGTACACTTTTATAATGTATACATTCAGACAATAATGACACGCACTGCACAAGACATTGCTGTGACCGGAACTTAGTCGTAGAGATAACGTTAGAACTCGTACAAAAGCTGAGTTTTTTGTTTTGGTTACGTCGCGATGCGGTGACGTACGAGATTCGGCGGCGGGATATCATTGCAATTGGAGAACATACCTTAAAAAAGTAATGTACTGTAGGTAAGACACAGACCTTCACCTGATGAGTAAAATATATAAGATTCCTTCACTTATAACTGTTGAGGCTCAAAAAAGAGGAAGGCGAAGATTTAGTTAGGGGGGCACCATGGCGCACTACTTTTTTTTGCACGTGAGAATGTTGAGGGGGCTGGCGAGCCAGTCTACTTCTGCAAGAAGGAAGGTAGATGAGTATGGAAACGAAAATGTTTGCCATGGTTTTGAATAAAGTGCACAACGATGCCCCTCCCTACTCCACTTCCAACTTCCCTTAGGCACGAAAATGTCGCACAACCGCTCACCATTAGTACATTACATATTAAACAGTATAAAAGTTTTCAAGCTCAAATTTCTCGATCGGTAGCGCATATGGATCCTTTTCAAACTTAAAATCACAAGACTTGTAAAATAGAAAATATTCATTATTAAACAACTGGTGAGCAGTTTAGGTTGCAATATAGTTTCCTGCTTTTTACAAAGTCCAGTAGCGAAGATAAAAAAGTGATAACATAACAAAAAACTCGTTTTTCCTGGGTTCATACTAGTAGTTGTTTGTTTGATATAGGTAACTATCTGCCAAGAAAATGAATCACTCTAAGGATCGAGTAGAGTAGTACGGTCGAGTTGAAAGAAGGAGAAGAAACCCAGAAATGTGAAGCATTGCTTTAAAAAACGGCTCTAACGAAAAGCGTAAACAGCGATTCCTTTTGAAGTGACCTTTCTTTGACTTCAAACCCTTGCTGGATTTTTTTTTGGTTACGATTTTTTGCCGTTGTTAGCATTCCTCGAACGCGCTGTCTATCTTCTCTGTTCTCTTACCCATGCAGGAAATTTTTCTTCTGCATCAGAAAAAACCCCTACTAATCACTTTACACAAAATAATATATAATTAGTTCTTCTGCACAAGCCGAATTCAGGAAACAGTTGTCAAATATCTCTAATCCGTAGGCCTTTGGGCAAAATGGGCCATGTAATTCAAAGTATTTTCCACCACAATTTTAAGGATTGTAACCTAGCCTAGGGTTACGTAGCCCTCTCTAAAACACACAGGTTCAACACCGTAGAAAAAAGCACGTGGATGGGTGATTCAAGGAAGTCTGGCTGAGAACACATTGTGGGCAACTGTGGCAACAAGCTGTGACTCACTCGCTCCAAGTCACAAGTTCTTTTGATTTTTGATTACCTTTTCCTTCACTTTAGACCTTTCGTCGGGGGACGATAAGCTCTAGGTGTTCTGTGAAAGCTCAGAGGTCTTCAACTGTCGACCCCCCCCCACCACCCCCTGCTGCGTGGTTTCTTTTGTGAAAACTGGTATTTACATTTCTCGAGTTTTGTTTCTGCCTCCTACATTTTTCACCATTTTTTTGCCATATTTACCTCCTCCGTGTCCAGTATGTTGTTCCGGTACTCGTTAAAGGCAAGCTCATTATGACTAGTACTGGGTAGAACGAACAAAAACTGTTCTATTCGAATTCTGTTAGTGCCAATTGTGACAGTTACCGCCCGGTCTATTGAAAGGTTTGATGACGAAAAATCGTTGAGTGTCTTTGTGTGAAAGTGCGGAAGAGAGCGACCGTGGCGAAACTGGCAGCGATGTGGGTATCGGAACTAAACGCATGCGAATTCCAGATCGAAGTAGGTAAATAAAGGAACAATAGCGCTTGCGATTCGCTCTGTCAGGAAAAGGAGGGCCAGTGTCGTCGCGAGCGACGTCGCCACACGGCCAAGGAACGCGCCCGGAAAAAAAGCGGATTCAAGCGGTTCCGAGTGTGTGGATCCCTTCCGCCTTCATCAAATACGACACAAAACCGAACTGGTTTCATAGCCGTAGCGCAACAATTCTAATACTTCACAAGTGCACTGAGTACATTCAAACTTCACCACTCGACCGCTAATGAATCGAAAACGACAAACATTCGTTGAATAGACGAAAAATAAATGCAAACAATCATACCAAGTGTGATTTCAGGTCGATGGTGGCAGTGAATTCGTCGAATGGGGCTGTGAGGCTGCGGCGACGGCTGCTGCTTGTCGAGCATAGGCGGCCATTACGTCGTACGGCGTATACGAGGTGGATAGCATTGTATTCGGGAAGAATGATGAGTAGTAGCTAGTAAAATCCGGTGCCTTAATGCTGTCCAAGTGACTGTAGTTGGCGAAAAGTGCTTGGGTGGCGAAAGGCGGTAGGGCAATGCCGAGCGGAAGACGATTCTGAGCCTTCACGGCTGACTTTGGTTTACGCCGTGGGCGATATTTGTAGTCTGGGTGTTCCTGAAAAGATGACGAAAATCAGAAAAAACTCATACACGTTGTTCTCAAGTTCCATACATCAACTAGTGCTTACTTTCATGTGTATTGAGCGTAACCTTTTCGCCTCATCGATAAACGGGCGTTTGTCCTTGTCGGACAGCTGCTTCCATTCGGCACCAAGTCGCTTGCTGATTTCCGAGTTATGCATTTTTGGATTGTCCTGCAAGACGAAGCCTCACATAGTATATGTAAATGCAGTTCGCGGTCCAAGTAACCCGTCAAGTGAAGTGGGCACCGCGGCGGCCAAATTCAAGCATGTAGGCGGACAAAGTGCCCTTTCAATGCGTACTTCTCACTGGTTAACGTGTACGTATTGTAAGTTGGATATGAACGGAATACAAACCTGTGCCATTTTTCGTCGTTGTCCTCGACTCCATACCATAAACGCGTTCATTGGGCGTTTCACGTGGCTATCCGTGGGCGATTTTGAATCCTGTGCTGATGGTGCCGGTGAGACTCCAGATGATACCGAAGCGGTTTCATCGTCGTCAATTAGCTTCACCGATGAATTTCCGGGTAAGCATGATGGATAAAGCAGTGAGAGGCCGTTCATCTGAATACGGGACTCTTTGTGGTAAGAACGAGAACAAATAGATCAGTGGGAAGGATGAGTAAGAGACTGAAGTGACGAAATGATGAGACGTTGAAAAATGAGAACGAAGAAGCGCGGTTGAATGTGTCGAAGGTGGCAAAACGTAAGTGTAAGGCAATCGAGTGACACTTGTGGTTGAGGAAAACAAGAAAAGCAAAGTAAGAACCGGCACTCGTTGCGCCTGTTTCTTTGTGAGGCACTGTTCGCTGGCAAACATGATACGTGGGCGGAGTTAGGCGGAGCTCAGCTCCGGATTACGGTAATGGGCGATGGGCGGACGGATGATTGCGTTTTCCCATTGGCGCATTTCAGAACAAAAACAAAGACCATATCGTTTTATGTGACCGACAATTAACTCATCGTCACCTCGGAGAAAAAAATGGCCGTTGAAATGGCGTTTGAGAATAGCGAATCGAGGTCGATTCACTTAGCTGACATCGATGATTATAGGGATCAGTCCGTTGAATAGCAGATGAAACGGGGAATTCACTGAAATGGTACCACAACCAGTTCTAAGAACATAGCCGCTAACTTCCATCGTTGAGGCGTGTCGAATTGGAGGTCTTATTATTGCGAGAAGAACCAATCGAAGCGTGAGCATTCAAATGCAGCACCCAATCAGCTGGATATAATCCACTTTGTTCAAGTGAGAAAAGCGCCCGCTGCCTCTAAATTGGTTACACCATGCCTTCAAGATGCAGAAAGTGGTTGTTCTCAGGTATTATAAAGTGTCTTAAGACGAAGAAATCGCATCGAAAAAAAAACGATACCTCATTTTCCAACATCTATGCGTCTATCAGAAACAAACGATGCTCTCCAATTTTGTCTATAACTATTGCGCCAATAGGTCCCGAACAATAGAATGAATTGAATAAAGAGAAAAAAATCAAGTACATTTGAGGGAAACTGGTAAAGCGACCTATTCATGTGAGGAAAATCTTGAAAGAAACAGCGATACCAAACAGTTTTCCTTCGCCTATTCATAATGTTTACCTTTGCTCCATACAATGCGAGAATCTCAAGACCCATGTCAATAGAGGTGTGAAGAAATTCTCGAGTTGCTTTCAACATTCGGACATGTACTGAGACAAGTTCCGTATTCTATCAGATTCCATGAGGAAGGACCAACCGCTTATAATAATAACGCATGCTACAATTGAATCAACAAGGATACAAAACAGTGTTGAAGAAGCAAGGGGAAATTTTATTTCCTTAAGTACCATCAGGAGTAAACAAGGACGCCAAAAGTGTTGTTCACTCAAGGCTGCTTTGAAGCTTACCTTTTCTGGGTACGGCGAAAATAGTTGATTTCACGGCTGAACACTACAGTGAAGGTTCTGTAATGACTGGCTGTTATGGGAAGCAACCCAAGCTATTCGGGAATATTAGTTGGTCATATTGCCCACGTCCGATGAAGTCTGTTCACTTCTTCGTTCTAGATTGAAACCGTCTCTCCACTCTTAGTTCTGGATTGAACGCAACTCCTTCAAGATGACAACTTTATAGCGACTGTGAAATCCCAATCCATTCCAGACTATTTCAGTAGGAAAACTATTTCAGTAGGAAATATGAAAAGAACCAGACTAATTCAGGCCCAATAATCTCGCGTTTTTTTTTCATCGAGTTCCAGTTCATTGGAAAGAGCGAAAGAAGAGAAGGTTTAAACAATGGTAATATGGACCGAGCGTTGAATTTTATCAGCTAAAGAGCTGAAAACCAATGTGAAACAAACCCGACAAGTAGTCCTGCAAAATCGCTAACCCAGATAACTTGACTCTCTTACTGTATGGCCATAGCTGTCACAAGCCGTAATAATCACTGCAGAACCATTCATTAAATAGAACGGTTAGAATTGACGCATTCCATCGTCTATTAACATTTGGCAGGTCTTACTGGAAGTAAGGAAGACCGTGGGGACCTAAATTGAAGCTCACAATAAAAGGCCCTGTTTGAGGAAAATAGTTAAGGCTCGAGTCACTAGAGACTTTCCCAGAAACTTTATAGTGTATGAAGAAATAGTAGCGTGAGTTTAAACTGCTATTCAGGTTCCCTAAGTGTATATCCAGTGTACATGCAATGCTTTTTCTTCTAGTAATGGTTTGGCATTTTATAGGGCTGAACTTTTACTATTTTTATTATGTTTTGTTTGGCGAGTAGCGCATTAGAAAATTACAAAAAAAATGAGAAATATGCAAACAAATAATAGTTCCAAAAGGAAATCGGAGCCGCTCACAGTAGGCGCGTGTCCCCGGTGTCATAAGGTGTTTGCTCGTCGCCAGAGTATCATAGCTGTAATTAATATGGCACTTAGTTATGTCGATTAGCAATAGTGTGGGAACAGTAGTTACTGTGATCGTTATCCACCGTAATCGTACGCGTACTCAATTAGAAGTCAAACACATCATTGGGACACGATAAATATTCCTCATATAGTAACCAGAAAGCTTGAAGGTTGATCCGATACATCTATGAATAACGGAAACATTAATGAAACCGTGGAGAAACTAAAAGTGACAATACTGCTCAGAATTGTTAAGGGGAGAACATTTCATAGGTAGAACTACTTATTTGCCTTTAATTTCCCTAATAACTAGCTGCAGAGCTCCACAACAATACTGGTTTCATTTTGAAGAGAACAATGGTCGCTGCGAATGTTACAGGGCCAGTAAAGTCCCCCAGGAAGACAAACTCAGGCTCAGGTAGGAAAGTTAAACCGCCTTCGATATTGAACAAGATCAGTTGCAATTTGGTTTGCCTGGGGCAGAAAAATATTAATATAAATGCAGGAAAAAAATAATTCAGGGCAGGAAGGTTCCTATAGTAGTGGTCAGGAGCGCGCGACGGAGTGGTTTCTTCGGCAGTACTCCTTCTTTTCTGATCAATTCGATTGGAATTCGTTTATGTTATCTCTGTTGATTTTTCACCACAAGCAGTAAGAATAGAAAAAAATTACAGAACAAAGTCTTCATCAAAAATCATCTGGCCTTCTGAAGCATTAGTGGATTTTGGAATCTCAGCTCTGCAGAGGCACTTCAATATCCTTCTCTGAGCCTGACGAGGTCATGAGCTCAAGACCGGCAATGAGGCGCAAGAAATTCTGCTCGGAAGGTTCATCCTCATAAATTAGAGGCTTGCGCAGAAAATGAACTTTTTTATTTGTACGTATTTATTCTATTATTATATCTATCATAATTTATTTTGTTTATGATATTAACTCATTATTTCTCTTATTTGTTATACTTCTCGTCGCTTGTAGATAGTATTGCTTAACTGGTTTGTATTCACATGCACAGAGAGTATTTCATGGGTACTGGGAATAATAGTACAGTACAGTAAATAATAGTACATGCTCCCTACCGTGTTTTCATGTCAGCGTAAGGGTCTTTCTCGGGCAATCGCTGAATTTTTTGCACTTTACTTTGAGGAATTAGCACTCCATACTTTTAAATATTACTTTATAGCTGTTTTTGTCGTTTTCTTCGAGAATATACTTGATATCTTACTAATAATGGCCTCCTATAAATTACCTGTTCTCTCCATTATACCCATTGAGCGCCTCTTTTGTGCTCGCTTTATTTGCATATAATTACAGTAATCTGTCACTCATCCTGTCATCACTTCCATTCGTCTCTATCCAGAGGGCATGATCGCCTGAGCGACAGTTTATAGCCGCATCTCTGTTACTAAATAAACGCCGAGAAAAACCTCATCACTTCAGGTGGAGGGCGTCCGACTGTCTCACTGCATTCGCCACAGGTCCTATTCATAGCCTGTTTTGAGACCTCGATCATAATCGGACAATAGACTTCACCCACTTTCAGTCTGAATCATTTTACTTTTTTCAGTTCAGAAAGAAGGGAGACTTTCTCGAAAGAGTAGAAAGAGAGGTTGCCAGGAAGGAAGTCCGACACATCATGAAGCACACTCAGTCGCGGCCTTCCAGCTCTCTAAAAATGAAGTGAGGGATGGACTGATATGCATCGATCCTCTGCTTTGTTATCCGCCGTGCATCGAACTCTGATGCATGGTTGAAAACCTTGAATGACTCGTATGGAATGCATTTATTAAGGGGGCTTTTGAAATTTTACTATATCTCGACGAGCGACTTAGGCGAAACATGTACTGACTAGCGCTCAGCACTCAGAGAGGATACAGGTAACCGGAGGTCATAGAACTCACATTTTAGCACTCCATTGCAGAAATGAGCGATCAGTTGTTTCTGAAAGAATTGCCATAACTTGGATTTGTATTCGGTTTCTGGATAAAAGAAGAAACTGGAGCCGTTCTTTTAGCGACGCGCTGGTGAAGAGTAATATTTACAGGAGACCCGATCCATCAACTGATGAAACGATATGATACTTCCATATACTGCGCTGTGCTTGCAGAAAAATCCGAAAAGTAAGCTCTGAGTGGGAATGAAATGGTGCCCCGGTAGCGTAACTGGTAGCGCATTTGCCCGGAAAGCGAGAGGTGCGGGTTCTAGTCCCGCCTGGGGCGAAAGTTTTTGTCACAACCCAGTATCCTTGTGAAACATTCACAAGGCGAACTGCGGCGTTGAAACAGCAGTTAACAAACAAATCAAGAAAAGTAAGATTGGAGGAATGAGTGGGTTAACTGTTTGAACCAAAATAAGGCATTGACGATCACTTTTGCCATAGGAATCTAAAGCAACGGGCTCTCATCTTCATACACAACTCGTGCTTACCATTTGCTTCCGAGAATCAAGTAAGCGTCGAGTGTACAACACACACTGCATGTGACGACGGCCTTCAAGTAAAACTGGTAACTATTGGTTCATAGAGATATCTGATAATTGGTAAATGATATTTGTGATTGGCGACAACTTATAAAGTATAACAAATGGCTAATCATTTCATTCGCAGAAAATCTTCACGTTTCGTGGATGCCGTCGTCAGCTATGTTGTGTGATCTGCAGTCGACGAGCATCTAAATTCCGGAAACAAAGTACATTACCCAAACCGCAAATTAACTCTGCTCATATTTCATTCTGCTAAGTAACTCAAACTTTTTTTCAACTACTACAGTGTGATTACTGTCAGATTTGGTGAAAATATCAAGTGTGACTCCTTTGTTCGCAGCTTCCTGGAATGCTGCAAAGCTGATTTGCAGATCTTGTTCATCCGAACTGACGCATGTAGTTCCAAGAAGCATCGTGCAGAAAAACTTTAGTCGACATCAGAATAATAATGTGATATGAACTGCTCAATTGGTCATATTCATCGGCGAAATTGAATGAGATGAATCCTTTAACCATCAATTCCCCATTGTACGCTGATTGCCATGCGACAGTATGCCTAATAGAATCGGGGATAAATTGTAACTTATCCCCTCGTCACCCCATCGCCGAACCCTCTCAAGCCAAAGCCGAATATAGGATTAGTTGTGTCGAATTTGGACGACGACATAATAGAGATGTCTCTGGGCGAGCGCGCCAGATGAGTGGTGTGTTAACCAACCGACACAACAACTTCAAACGAGGAACGTCTAGGTAGTAACGAGTTTTCATAAGTTAACAACCATTCACAGATGAACATAAACAAATTCTCACAGAGCTGATGTTCTCTTAGTGAAATTACTGAACGATTTTCCATTTAAAACAAACTTGAGTTCCCAAGAACGAAGCTCTGAAACCGGTGGCATACAATTTCAAAAAGCATAAAAGCTTATAATATTCAGCGATGACCAATCCCTTTTTGGAATGCGCCACGCGTATAACATCGAAGTGGCATTAGGGAAAGCGGAGCGATTCATAAAGTACCTTAGAAAGAATAGCCGATGAAAAAGGCTTTTTTTAGAGTCTAAAACATTTCTGTGACCAGTTGAAAGTAAGGAGATTGGAAGGATTGGTTGGTCTCGACGGCATACGAACGTACGGCGTATGTATTACGTAGGTACGTAGGATTTGATCCCTGACCACGTGTGGTAGGCGGCGTCACCTGCCACTACACCAATACCAACCACATCTCTTTTCAAAGGTACTGTGCTTGTTAGTGACTTTACACCCTAAAATGCTGCAGTTTCCTTAATCTAAGTCTTCATATCAAACCTAGGAAAGGAAACGATCCATGGAATTAAGAGAAGCCTGTACAGTTGTAATTGCTTCTGTTCAAGCTTCCGAGATTGATATACGATTTATCCGGCTAACGTTTCGGCGCACTCACCTTCTTCGGAGCCTGCAAGTCGAAGCATCTTTTCGAAACAATTCGTCCAAGCAACATTTCAGATTACAAGAAAGAAAAACTAAGGGAGAATAAGCCATGAACGATGTCGTAACCCGCTAACCTTTGCAAAAGCCGAGCGCTAGAAGGCACCCTTTGCTGAAGATCGTGCAGTGAGGCTTTTATGTGTGCTTCGCATCTTTGGGGTCGGGTCATATGGCCAAAGGGAACCCCCCAGGAATCACAGCTGTACATACAATCATGCGAGATTAATTGAGAGTCGTACATGGAAGATTCTTAAGAAAAGCCTGTTGTACATAATTAATCAATAGAAAGCCGCGCCAGTGCTTTCAAATGCAAATTGTTTTGAAGATGAGCTGAGGACAGTGGGAAGGTACAGACAAGCTGTATTGCTCAGCACTTTTCGCTCTAGTAGTCAAAGCAGCTGTGGATAGCTCATTCAGTGCATCTCCTGTGGTATTCACATTCTGTTGGAAGATTTTGATTCCTTAAAAACTGCATCATGTACGCCGTTCTCAGGCATACGGTAGCGGTCAGGAGAATTCGCTGAAACGGGTTTTCGTATGATGTTACTTTCTTGGGAAAGAGGAGAACTTTGGTCCAAGTTTTAATTTCGTAGCCTTTTTAATTCCTCATTAAGAAAATCAAAAACTGAAGGTAGTAACACAAAATTCGAAGCGAATTTGACAAGAACTAAAGCGGAACGCCGTTTACGGGGTACCCTAATCTGATCACTATGTAAGTAAATCTCACTAAGTCTTCAAACGTGCCGTGAACGAGTAGTGCGAGTGCTCCAGGATGAAGTAGAATTATAGTAAGAATTGATGTTTTCTTTTGAAGCCCGCCGCGAAACATTCAGAAAAGTAAAGCACTGGGTTGGGTTGTTGCTCTTAAATCATCTGTGGAAGACAACTCTTGGACATTTAACTCTATACACCGATCCGTTTGCTTCTAATGGTCATGATTTTCTCCCAGATGGGAATGTCTATACGATACGAAAAACAGAGAAGATAAGGGAACCGTAGAGACTATAATTTCTGTTGACATTGATTGCCTCTAGTTCTTTAGTGCTCTCTAGTTCTTTATTTCTGATCTGGTCACCTTTGAGGATTTGAGGATCGGCGAATGTCAAATGTACGGCTCATCCTCCAAATGCATGAACTGATGAGACTACAACGATATTGCTTATCCAAAGGCTCACAGTTGGGCGAATATTATAGGCAGATTCCTGTACCTATGTCAACGTTCCTTGGCAACGTTCAAACAGATAAGAGCTGGAAGACTGCTCCTTTATCACTGACATTGATTATCGATCCCTTAATGGCTACGAAAACAATGTCCACTTGAGAGATATCTTCAACATACCTTTATTTGAGCTTTTGATGAAATCGCTATCTACATATCTTCCCCAACATGTGCAGTGTACTTCTCAAATATGTCCACTTTCAAAGCCGAACGGATAGAATTGTTTTGTCATTGCTGATAATAAGGAAATTTATCCAAATAACAACTTAGGTTACTGAGTGCTATAAGATGTCGACTAGATATTATTTTAGGTTATTCGGACCAATAGGGAGCATTTTTCGGAATGCCGAATGTATTTAAAGTGAGCACGAGTCAAAAACGATTTTACACATGCTGCGGCAAATTACACGTAAAGGTTAGTATATTACCAACATTATTATATTTTATTATATTATTATTATTATTATTATTATTATTATATTTATTATTGTTATCTTCTTATTGTTCCTTCCAGTGGCTTTTGTTCTTTTTGCACATGCTGTAAATGCATATTGCGAATGTTTATCACATAATTTTCTATAGGACTTTAATTGCTTAGTATCAGCAATTTATTAGGTATTAGATAGTATATTTGTTTAAATTTTCTGACATTTTTGTTGAATTTTTATCATGTAGCGTGTCGAACTTGAACAGTCCGACTCTCTAATGGGTTACAGTATAGGATAAATGTTGAAATATTACTTGAATTTGTGATTTTTCTCGACGTTACAACATCGCCTCAGAAGCAGTCGTTGAGAGAACTGTATGAGCATTTCCCTATAAAAGGTTTTGAAGGGGTCGTAGATGTGTTGAAATTGAAATGGATACGAAAAAGTTACTGTTTCAGGAGCTGAACATTCTCTCCCAACTCGGCGCACTTTTCGAAAAAAAAAACAGTTTATTTTTTTGGGGGGTGGGGAGGGGGTAAGAGTGTTTCAAGTAACGGCCATTTCATCGACACTATTTACACTTGCGGGGGGATCATGAGCGGGACCCCTTTCAGGAAATATTGGGAAGCTTTCGAAATCACACAACGTGATGGCTGACCGAGGTTCTACACTTGCACACCGTCGCTAGCCTCCCTTTACTCGCTAGGTTGATCCTTTTAAGCTTCAGCTGACCAATGTGGTCTGCGTGCCTATTTAAGTTTGCAGATATAAAGGACTCTGAACTTCAAACCTATTTCACTTTGAAAAGCCAAGGGTGGAAAACTGCCTACAGTTACTTTATAGCTAAAAGACCGAAAAGCAGAAGGCAGAAAATAGAAGTCGTGGCATTAAGAGCAAGACGAGAACTATGTATCGAGCGTTAACCTATCCTATATACATTCACTATCCAGCACTATTTCCTTGGGAAAAATTCAAAACAGTAGAACATGACAGAAAATAATTCCTAAGGATCACTCACGTTAGCCACAGACTGTAGCTGAACTTAATTACTCAATTTTTCAGACTAATTTCTTATTTTAGAAGTTTTTTTTGAAATTTATATTTTTTCATTCTTTCATAGGAGCTCATTCTCATTCGATCTAATATACACTGCAGCTTGTTTTCAGTTAGCATTCCTTCTCATAATATGTATGACGATCGTAGCCGAAGTTTTCGAGACAATATCCTATGTGATGAATGGTCTGCCAGAAGGAACGACTTTTATCGCATATGCACTAGAGGTAGGGTACAGGTGGTGAAAATTTCAGAATATAGTCGAAGGCACATCCTCACTCTACCATATACCAGTCGCTCCCGCGAGTGAGATTGTTTGGCCTTGAAACGTAGACAGGACCATTTTTGCGGTAGGGATTCACGAGAGCTACTATAGCTACTTAAAGCATGTAGAAAGAGCATATCTCAGACTCTCACCCCCAATCAGGGTCAACCCTACGTTGTAACTAGTAACAACGGGGGTCGTACTTGGTTCGGTTTGTAGGAGGGGGTTCGTACCCATGGTTGAGTTTGTAGGAGGGGGTCGTACCCTTTCAGTCGCTTGATCACATGCGAGTTTGAGGTGAAACTGACTTTCATGGGTAGGTAGGCTGGGTGAGCTGAGGGGCGCAGGAAAAAATTTGCTGTTTCAGCGCGCCTATATATACCCCCCCCGCTCGACGGATTTTTGGAGAAAAAGCAGGGCGGGGTTTGGTGGGTTGAGTTGTATCAGAATTGAATACTATAGAGAGGATGATGGTGGTCGAGGTGTGGAAAAGGGGATCGTGAGAGGATGATGGTGGTAGAGGTGTGGAAAAGGGGGTCGTATCAAATCCACCTTGGGGAGGGGGGTCGTAAAAAATTTTTCGAAAAGTAACAACGGTATGGTTGACCCTGCCCCCACTCAAAGCTTTATTCACGGCGCTACCGGTGAATGTTTTTTTGGGCAGGTCAAATGTGACCTAGCTTTGCATTTCTCAAAGCCGTTTACCCCGTTTTTCGTGGAATTCGCCTTTGACCCACCGATCGCAGCTTTGGTTTCCCATCAACAGCCAATAATTCTATTACGCCAATTCATTGTTGTTTTTTTTTCATGTGTGACAATACATCTGAACATTTGTTGAGCAGTAGCGATGATCATTCTCAATAATTCAGTCCTTGTATTATTTATTCTTCAGATCTGGGAGTATATTGTGACATTGACAATGATGCTAGCAGTAGTGAATGAAAGTACCTTCTTCTTATTACCGTACATTGGCGAAATGGTGAGTAAACAGCTTTGAACCTATTCCGCGCCTTTAATAACTGATGTAGAAGTAAGGAGGGATTTTGAAACGGCTGCATCCTTACTGAAATGGACCCGCATTTTTGAATATGGCGCTTTATTTTTCTCAAATCTTATTTATCATTTTGTACATATTTCATTGTTTTTTCTCTTTTAGAGTCATCCCCGGTACTCTCATCCAAACAAAATTTCTAAGTTACCATGTATAAAACGTTGTACTGGGGGACTGCTATTGCGTATTTTTTTTCTGGGTGGGAAGGTATCGCACTAGCGGTTTCAAAAGTGTGGTAAAACTCAGTTTCAAACAATTTCAGGAAAATGTGTATAGCTGTTAACATCAGATCATTTGCGGATCCTTTAATCATATATATCCCAGCAGGGTGAATCTTGCTTGAGAATTCCTCGACGGCACGTCGAGGATTTTCGCCTGATCCTTTACGATCTCGCGCGCGGATATTCACTCTCGCCACCCGCGAGCCGTCTGTGCTCTCCACGCGTACATTCACTATCGGCTCTACTTGCACAGCAGAGAGCGATGGTACCGATGAATTCCTCGACCATATTCACCCTGCTTCCCAGCCCCCCTCCCCCTCCCCCCCTCGTCCACTCCTGCCTCCCAACTCCGAGGTTTAAAGGATGCTAAAAACGGTTCATGAGCAGAATTGGGGCGGCAAGAGACAGGTACGGTCTTAGAGAGTTGTAAGGAGGAACAGTTCAAGCTGATGGAAGGCGGGGAGACAGTCAATTTTTTACCTGGTACAGTGGGGGTTGACCTTGCATGCACCTCGCACGCCAAATATGCATTCAAGTCAGAGTGCGCAATGCTTTTAAAAAACCTTGCTGAGAGGATGTCGTAATTGAGCTTCTTGAAGGAGGAGGGTCGCGTTGAGTGAGAGCAGCATTGCATTTTCAGGGCATTGGAATTGTAACAGGAATAACATATCTTAAAAATTTGAGGACATATCAGAAAACTCGGTGAATTCTCGCAAAAATTGGAGAAATTCTGGTCTCATTACCGTTTCGGCCAGGCCATATAATCTCAACAGGCACCCATACTCTGGTTCAAGTGCATCGATATATCTCAGTTGAGGGCGGAGGCATGGCTCATCCTGGATTGCTTGAACAAGGCTATGCACTTGCTGTATTGCTTTCAACACGCCTACGCAGTGATGCTGTTGGCACCAGTTAATGAACTCGCCTGACTTTTGCACTAGGGTTTATGAAGATCCTCCAACCACCCGACTCCATTCCATGGCACTCTTTTCCATTTTCTCCTTAACTTATGGCTCTATATTTTATAAATTTCCATTTCCAGTTTGTTGTTGTAACAATGATGCTGATATTGATATTTCAACTTCTGTACTGCATGATATCTCCATATTCTTCAACAGCAGAACAGTTATTCGTTGATGGCCGCTACTCATTACTGCAACGGGAGAAGAAACGTAAGCAACAAATTAGTTGTTCTGGCGATCCAAATTCTCCTGAACATCATAGAAATAGGATTAGGAATATACTGACGTGCGTGGTAGAAGGTTCGATCGTCTGTCTGACCTTAAGGTCATTTTTGGCTTTTGAGGAGGGTGGTCGTGTTTCTGGAAGACATAAAAAGAACAAATTCGGTAGGAAGCTTTTGCAGAAAAATTCGTGCAAAATTTGCTTGAAGTGGTTGAACTTACTCATCTATACCTCTCTCCTCTCCCATCGCCACTTTCAGATTTCCTAAGGGAGGAGTTGAAGGGTCAATTGTGGCTTCTGACCGATTCCGGATACACTACCACTCCCTCCATCCCCTCGTGGTTCATGGTGACGAGTGCTGCAGAACAGGTTGTAAGACAGTATCCATGATAGAAGGGCTTCAAATGGTGTTCCCAATCACACACACCAGTGCGCTGAGGGGTCTAGTTCACCAATGACGTTCAGTGACGTCGTCAAAAGCGCAGCCGTCGCGATCAGCGCCTTTATGAGGACCATTTCACTGTAGACCGCAATGTGTTGCTTGAAAAAGGGAATACAACTGTATCAAGACTCCAGACATTTTTGCTTTCCATAACGGGACCAAATTTACAAAACACAGCTCTACAAATTTTCAGTTTTCACCATTCTCTTATTCGTCGCATTCTTCACTGCCCTTGCCGGATGGTTCCTGAATGTCGGGTTGACAACTTATATGTACTTTGAATATCTCGCTACTAAAAGGAACAGGAGACCCAGACGACTCCCTGGCGAGCCTGTGAGTTTCTTTAGACACTTCATTGTAGACTTTGTTCTCGTGAGTGACTCCTTAAAACTCTCTTGTCGGTCATTGTGGGGCATAAAATTTATAAGAGGTGTGAGATCAAAATCCAAAGCCTTTCACCCTCTTATTCCACAACCACATGTCCATGTGCTCATCTTCTTCTCTTTAGGCGCCAGCTCTTGTTCAACGTGACGCTCTTCCGGCCACACCTGCTGCGGTGACGATATCGTTTCCCAATCCCAACTTCAGCAATAATTCGGATGAGGACGACGAAGTCTTCGAGAGAGGAGCCCATCCCCCTGTCGCTGCCGTATGAGCATTGTACCTTTTGTAGTTTATGTTTATTCGGGCACACTGTTGTCAAATCACTTCGAAATGATAGCTCTCATTACAACTATTGAATACGATAAATATAATTTATTACCTTTTTGAAACGCTGCAAAATTTTGGATAGGAGTGGCATTTCCTTCAGCGATCCTACGAAGTTCTGTTATGAGAAGGAATGGTTCTTTACGGTGTTTGTTCTATGTTCAGTGTTGCTTGTTACATGGTAGAAATAAGAAAACACACAGAGCGCTGATCAGTTAGAAAGAGTTCTAACTGATCAGCGCTCTGTGTGGTAGCGGACTTTTCCGCTCGAAGGGTGGAACCGACGGCCTCTGAAGACGACGATTCAGTCGAAACGTTAGGCCACTAATAAAGGTTCCACCGAACAACCTCGTAAGGCACAAGAAAATTTGTTAAACTTATAAGAAACTGCGTCGATATGAACCCCAGCCTATTTGCGAGGCTCCCTCCCATACGACCCTCATTCCATCCTCTCTACATCCAGTCTGGAGCAAAACATGCTAGTTTGAGATGCGCGATGGGAAAGCGGCATTTGGTGCTGCTGCTACGGGAATGCTCCCGCCGAGATTGGAGGCACACACTACATACTGGTGCTTATATTGGGGTTATGCCTTTTCCCAGTTCCAATGAGGTGAGGCTCCGATAGCAGATTAGTCAGCAGCAGTGATCGTCATCACATTTCTAGAAAAGACAAGCCTCAACTAATTTTCCATGGAAAAACGGCCTCTCACTTCAAACACTACAATACCTGTGAGCTCTAGGCGGTGATTCAGGTCATCAACTAACAATAAATTCATGACTTGCTTATTTCAAGACGCTGGTCATAAGTCAGCAAAGGCGTTCCCCTCTCTAACCAGAGTCAACTATCCGTTGAGATTTTCCGAACCAGAACAGTTGCCATTGAACTTCTGTAAGGAGTGTTGAAGTAGAGAAAATATGCTACATTGGAGCAAATTTGGGGGCAAATTTGCTAAAGTTATTCGGATACTGTACTCATCGCTCCCTTCGCTCGGCGGCAGCACGGCGGAACTGAGCGCTATTGAGTAGTGTCGAGTGGGAACAGGTTCATTAGCAACACCATGGACGCTAGGAGGAGTAGAGGAGAAGCAGAAGGAGACCGTCCTGACTCGAAGGTTCTCCCGAGATGACGCTTAATTCTGCCCTCACCACTTTCCTATCGACACATTCCTTTAGGAGCAACATGCACACTAGCAGCTCATCATGCGCATAGTGCGAGAGTTAATTCCAGGATCGAGTCCTGCTCATGCCTACAAGACTTCCATCACTCGATTAGAGTCAACCTAGACCCACTGAGGGATAAAAATCACGAACTTTTACGGCTACTAAGTGTCAGTTAAGTTGTTGCCACAAGACATACCCAAGCACTTTCCATTTTATGTTCCATTTCGTACAGTATCGTTGACCAGTAACATCTTCACGCCCATTAAAACAGTTTTGAATTACTGTTCCTTCATTGCTCAACCGTAACAGACTTCCACTTGCACAATTCTAGAGAACAATTAAATACAGTGACCACAACGTTAACCAACATCCAAACAAAAACCAGAATGCTCCTTATTTTCATCGACTGTAAGGTGAATTGTAATTTTCCCTATTCTTTGCTGCCATATAAATACTCAGACCGCGCTAACCCCACATGTTTTCCGATGTGGCGTTTCTTCTGAACAAGAAACTCGTCCGACCAGTGCACCACCGCACGCGACGAGCCTTCTGCAACAGTATTCAACTCGGGGAAGGAAGAAGACATGTAGTGAGATGCAGCTTCTCTCTGAAAGGGACCGTCTGTCCTCCTTCACTCATTGTGTAGTGCTACCAAATACAACAGAACTGCTCAGAAAGAAAGCTAGTTTATTTGAGGGTTTTTACAACATAGCACACTTATTATGGAAGATTGCTTTCACGAATAGGAAAGCCGATGCCCTGTTAATTCATTATAAAAGACACGCGTATGACGGACGGCAAATTGAACAATGAATCACAATAAGCAAGGTGACCGGCAAGTATTATTGAAGACTTCACACAAAATATACATTACCGTTCCCAATTTATGAATTATAAATGAGGTGCACAGTGGCAGTACAGTACCTAGTTTGCATTCAAACACACGCAAAGAAGTGTACTGACTGAAAAGTGAACAAGTGTCTTTTCGCTGGTAACAAAACCATTCTATTCTAACAAAACGATCACTTCTCGAATCGAAAAACTAAAAAAATGTCTGAGACGATCTTAATACTGATTACGCACCTAATACACGCCTCACAAAACTAGCAATTTTGTACAAGTAGCAGTGCCGAAATCTCAACCTGAACAGATAGTACGGGTATCCTAGGAACAAACGCTGAAACTATATTTATATTATATATATGGAACTCGAAAAGATGGTGGGAACGTATGGAAAGAATCCGTAAAACCTTGCACAATAAATAATGAAAGCGTACTAATACAAGTCATGAAAGCAGAAATAATAAAAATAAAGTCAAAAGTCAAGTCAATAAATAGTAATGCCGTCTATACCACATTTGGCATGGCATATACATATTTACTGAACTGAATAGTAAGACTGTTGGCCAAAAAATCAAACCTATGCATCTAGGTATTTGGTGTCGAAGACTGATTCACGTCCGTGCTGTTTTTCCTAACAAACAACGCTACAATAAAGCTGTAGACATTGAAGTTTTGCCACATGACGAGCAGAGCTACGAGGCAACAAAGAAACACACCCGCTCTGTTTCTGTAATAATAAAAAGTTAACATGCCTTACCACATACCACAAGTTCAAAAACCTAAGCAACTAGGTATTTGGTAAAACTTTTCACAGTCCAATTCACGACAACTAGAGGCCAATAAATTGAACTCCGACAGTAAAAGCGATAAACTCAGATGAAAACACACCTTGTTCCAAAAAACGGCAAAAAGAGGTCAAGAACTGTCGCAACAAGATATAAAACTATTTTCAGGAATTCAACCTGAAACCATATTTAAAAACACACTGTTTTAGCCAAAAGCAACATATCAGAAACGAAAGAAACGTACGAGAATATTGGCACTGGAAAGAAAAACAGCATTGCCCCAAGCAGGACCTGAGAGACGTATATCGAGCGTATCTTTGATAGAATTTTCCATACGTACTACCTAAAATGTCTGATTTTCAAAGAGTGACGAAATTATGATAGATGTCAGCAGATTCTTGACAGCCCACTTACGTGATTCTCAACCGATTCCACACTTTCTTCAACTCTTTTGAATCGATCATTATATTGATAATCCAACCGATTAGCAATGCCTTGTTGCTCTTGTTTCAATGCCTTTAAAAGTAGTTTTCTAGCGATCATAAGAAAAATGATTAACTCAGTATGATACAGCCAACGAGAGGTGCACTTCATTAAAAATGCAAGACAAACCTGGAACTCTGCTTGATGCAACTCAATTGTCTCATTCATAGTTGTTTCCAATCTCTGTAAAAGAAAATCGTTGACTTCAATTGAGGGATCAACAATGCAATGAATGAATGCAGTAGAATGCAAAACTATTTGCTAGACAATTCCTCACCAGAAATTTTCCCCGTTCCTCTTCAAGAGCTCGAGTGACATAGGCTAACTCAGAATCCAACCGAGTCTAAATAACACCAATAGACAAGTACATCAACCACAACGAAAAAGGATAAACCCACCTCAATCCGGTTAATCTGCTCGCCCATTTTGGTGATAAGATACCGCAGACCTCGAAGATCCTCCAACAGTTGGCGTGGCATTTCACCTGATTCAGCAGTAAGGGCAAACGGAGGCAAGGGGGCTAACGGCGACAATCGCATCGATGAATTCGACTGAAACCATAAAACCGAATAACACAAAAATGAAGATGTGGATTTATGAGCATGTTTTCTAGTCGGACGTGATTTCATAGCTGAAGTGCTTAGCTTGTGACACCACAATCAGCCAAAAATACGAGCTTTGGTTTTGGTAAGTTAGTAGAGAACGTGTTTTCTTATCATCAAAAGTATTGACTCATCAAAAAAGAAGACTGAAAAAAGCAAAGGGACAAGATTCGACCGGACTTCGTAAAACGAATGAATGAAGCATACAGAAACAGGGCAAGCTACCACTTCAGATTCGATCTTCGACAATGGATCAGTCAGCTCTGATGTATCACCATCTCGAGACCTGATTGGAGTCGGCGACTTCACTAAGGAAGAGTTGGGAGGTAGGGAATCCGACTTTCTTGAAGAGAACCTGAACTTGATCAGCCGCGAATAGAGAAAAGGAAATTCCCAAAAACTGAAGTCACACCTGCTCGCTAGCACCTGATGGGGGCTTCCATAGTCAGAGCTTGCGTAAAATTTCGACTGTCCTATTCGTAAATCAGAATGTGTTCCTGTAATGAAATGTACATCGGAAAAACTTTGAATACATTTGAAATTTTTCAAATAAACCACGGTTCCTTTAAAATGAAAAGTACAAGCGCGAATGAATCCCGAAAGCACCAGAATTTCGAAAGAACGAAAAAAAGCACTTGGAAAGATGTGGTCAAAAAAGTACCGTCACTAGGGTCGTTCACATTATCAGCAGATCCGAAGGTACTCTTAAGACGTTGAGCAAATTCTAGAGGTGCAGCCATCACGGTTTCCGTCATTCCCTTCAAATTCGCACCAGTTCTTCTGAAGAAACATAACAAAATGAAGGAAATATTCGCGAGAAAAAATAATTAAAAGCTTATATAATGATACCTAATTCCTTGACCGACTGTCGACATAACAGTAGCTCGACTTCCAGATTCGATACCATTTTCAATTTCAGCTAGGCGCTGTTCGTAACTTGCAAGCTTTCTCTAAAAAAAAACAAGATAACGAATTACAGGGCGTTAAGGTAGAGAAACCTTTGAGAATCTCAAAAAGAGGAACTATATTAAAAAAAACTATACCTGCAATTGCTCGAGCTCATTGGTGTGCCGCTTATTCTTCTTCTCGAAATGTTGCTTCAAACGTGCCATTTGCGGGTTATCAGCACCTTTTTGGCTTTCAGATCCCTGGGTCATTACCAGGAACTCTTCTACATCACCTGAAAATCAATTTCCGATCAGTTAAAAAGAACTTGGAAACAGCTCCGACACTATATATATCTATACTTACGCTCCCTCTCAAGACTGGTACGTTTCAATCTTTCCCTTGCTAATTCTATCTTTTGCAGTAATCTGAGGCGTTCACGGTCATCATTTCCAGGAGAGCCACTTGCATCTTCTTCTGATGACCTCACACTGCTACGATCCCCATCGGTTGGCTGGAAGAGAATCATTTTGAAGGCAAAAGCGAGAATTTACGGCTCAACACTTATGACGACAAGATCAGAGATTTCCAAGTATATGAAACAACAGCACCAGGGCCTGACCTCATTAAATGATAAATCCTGCATCGATTATCCGATGAGGAAACGGAGACCACGGTCCACAGTCCACGAAATGGCAACGGCGGTGCTCACCAAGGAGAGGACCGTCTTAGTGCAAGCTCGAAGGTCGACACTGATAACACTGATAAAAACCTAGTCAATGTAGAAGGAACTGCAAACAGTCACGGTCATGGGGAGGTATAATCAGTACTAAAAACTTACATAAGCAAGCAACAAAAGGCACTTCAGTAATGCTTCATTACAATTGGTCGCACTATATACACAACGCAGAGCGTAATTCGTTAACACAAAAAACACTTACGTACTCGATTCACCCAACCCAAATCTACAACGAATTAAATACATACGAATAATCTCACGAATTGCTAGGAGCTTGCACGAAAGCTCCTCACCAACGAATATGAACAAACATAATATAACACATCTAGCATGAAACAAGCCGCACTCTGCATTCCATAACTTTGAGTGCCGCAAATGCGGACTTCGCAACATAAGTGGCACCAGATGGCCGGACGCATAGTCGGTCGGACGACAGCAACGACTGCAAGTGTCGCCTAGTATCGGGTGCGTATCGATCTGCGACAGCAGCGGTCGGACGACAGCAACGACTGCAGGTGTCGCAGATCGATACGCACCCAATGCTGTGCGACACTTGCAGTCGTTGCTGTCGTCCGACCGACTATACGTCCGGCCGATCGCATAAGGAGCGTGTAAGACAGAGAGCGCATGACAATGTGTACCACATGGACCAGCTATTCTGCAATTACGACACCCCAGGTACAGGAAACACAGTGAATATCACGGTAAATCGATCAAGACGCAGCTAAATAATAACACTACTAAAAAACATAGGCGATTTCATACCAGCATATACCACTAATTATTAGCTGTTAGAAAGAACCAAAACATTTAATTACCCATAGAGCGATATAAAATCACCGAATCGCTAAAACATATTTCAGAAAGAAATTGGCATAGAAATCACCGTCCAGTTCATATTTTTTGAGAAAATCAGAGCAAGGTTCTTTCAAAACCATCTACACGGCGTCTTCCAATCTGAGACGCATTCGAGCTCGAGTTATCCTCAACTGTGATGGTCGGGCAATCCAGATCGGTGTTACCGTTGTCTGGAGCGATCAGACCATTCGATGATCCACGATTGACCACGCCTTCCAAAAGGCCATTCTGGGTCAGTCTAGAAAGTAGATCGTTGGGGGAAAGAAGAAATGGCACAAACCTCATAGATGGGCATATCTTTTGGCTCTTAAACGCAGCGGAAGATGTACTGCGGAAATATGGGACAGGAGAGAACCTCGCTAGCCCAAAAATCACTTCTCCGAACAAAGATTGATTTTGGGCTCAACTTCAAGCTCATTGAATGACCTGATTCAAGAAAGATAGGTATATGTGCTAGGGTACTCATCAATGTAGAACCCTATCAACGTATTCAAAACCGTTACTAGTTATGCAGAATTCCTCTTCACACTATCCCTCACTACAAATGGGGACCTGGCTTCACACACAAGCTTCCCAATATGCACTACATTAACCAGATCTCATACTCAGTTTGGCTCAGAATAACTCTCTAGGGAAGCTTCTTTCACATATCCAATTACGTTTCTTGCTGAAGAGGAAAACGGAGATACGTCTCGCGGCCCACAACATATTTACCAGCATGAATGTGATAAAAGCGGTGTTCAGAAAAACGACTTGCACGGTGAATGAAGAAGCAGTGGCTAGACCTTCGAATATATTTCAACATAACACATGAAAGAAATGTTTCGGAAAGGTTAATTAATAACGGAATATGGACATTCTCCATATTCTTATGAAAGAATCATGAAAACAAAGCGATGCTCAAACCCCAAGTAAAGAAAAATTGAAAAATTACGAGATGTCCTCCGAGTCGTCGATATCTTGGTTCAGCTTCAGGTAAGGATTTGCCGGCTGAGGGCGGAAAAGTATACCCACGAGAACGAAAAATACAAGGGTGGACAGTTCAACGACGGCATCAGTGATCCACTCCTGATCGAACGGCAGCGCATACTAAAAACGTTGAAGCATGAAACCCTGTAAAACACTAAAACAAGAGCGTCACGTTATTACCTGTAAGAGTAATTTCATAACTCTCGTCAGATACACATATGATATGACAATCATATAGAAATGACGGAAGAGGCGAAGTTTCTCAAGGTTAAACGCGGCTTTGCCATCGCTTCGCGCACCTTCGGACAAATGGTGCATGGACCTGAACGCTGCTTTAATTTACAATTCTACAATAATTCCACCTTTTTCAACTAGCATTCGTAAGCTTCAAGAGAAACTCACCAGATAATAGGGAATATTATTAGAAAGCAGCAAATCATATCGATGAAGACGAACATCTCGAACCACAGCTGGTATCCCTGCTGACCAAACTCGCTTTCTTCCAGTATGACCATGGCGATATTGTCGACTATCTGTAACAAGCCACGGAAAGATGATAAGAGAAGGTAAGAGTTCATTATAAAGCTGGAACAGGTTTGACGGCTTCCGTGAGAATCGATAATTTTCACAAAACACTTGAAAAAGGGCTTCTTATGGCTGAGCTTTAAGGACAACAACATCGGCAATGCTAAAGAATAAAGATAACCGGAAAAATGCAGCTTTAAAATACTTTTCAAGGTCTAAATCACAAAATGACTGGTGTTTCAAGGAGGATCACAATAAAGATTCCCCATCGGACTGTAAAAAAACTGCTGCAAATAAGAAGCTTCAAACCAAAGTACAGTAAACAGGAAAGAACGGGTAACGAACCCGATTCAGCTACTTCCCAAGTGCTCGTTATCACTCTTTTGAAACAAGAAAAGGAGAAAAACTTCGTCGATTTCCATGTCCTTACAGCCCCACATCTCTAAATTTATCCAGAATGGATTGTTAAAATCCAGCGGCCCCCAACTAGTTTTGAAAAGTGACAAACAGAAGAAATCTCAAAATAAACTGTTTGATGGAGTAAACAAGCTTCAGAATTACTGAAGGAAATCTTCTGGTAATAGTATATTTTCGACTTGTACTACCTCTGTGGTGAAGTCTATGGGTCGAGTCATAGTTCGCTATTTTACGAAGTCCCATCTTGGATTTTTTTGTTCATGAAGAAGATACGTATCGATCACACATGTGAATGCGGTTTGTAATTACTCTAAGCTCGAAATCAAACCAAACTCAAACCTTAGACTCGACCCTGAAATAACTTCACAGTAAACCTGAGACTTACAGTCGTGACTCACTACAGTATTCGAAGAGCAGCAGCAGTCTATCTTGCCATTAATAAAGACTCGTCCCTACGCTCCATTTATTAACTTAAGTGATTTTACACGTGCTCAACACACTAAACCATAATGGACTATGATGAATTGAAAGTATTCAATTATAGGAACTAGCTGTCACACAAATTGCCAGATGGTTCCTGACTCCTCAAAAAAGAGAGTCGATTCTGCCTTGTCATAAGAATTACACCAAAACTCATTATTTTCTGACTTAGCTTAGAGCCAATGATCCTGATTAGATCGATTTTTTATAAAAAGTAGGTACACTAGCCGTACTCTATATTTAACAAAAGTCACGACTTCGCCGAGAGATAGTGTGGCTATCGATTAAAAAGAAAAACGCAAATAGGCTGTGGAAAGCAGCCAGTGAGAACATCTAGTTAGCAGAACTGAAATCTGAGCCTTTTCGACTCTCGAACAACTTTTACTTTTGCTACTGCACAAACCAGGTGGTTCAAGGAACGCAACACTGAGAAAGCGGAAATGCAATAATCGCACGCATGAAAGAATGCAGAGATATGAAACATGGCGAGTTTCGTCCACAAAAGACGATAGTATTATTAATAAGAAGTAACAGTTGTGATACCCAGATTTAGCACTACTCAATAATTACGAGCATGAAAGCTCGAAAAAAAAAATGCCGAAATCTCACTTACGGACATCATTTAACGCTCTTCAAAAAATTTGCTGTGGCGCACTTATAGAGCGTCCGTGAAGCGGCGTCCTTACAACAAATATGGAAAATTTTGGTGCCAGACCCATTTGTCGCCAAATCTGGCAGCTAGTAAGTGCCAAAATTGGTGTTAATTTGGTCTCGCGATAGAAGTGATTGGCCTAATCTTGGTCTGAACATTAAACTATCACACACGAATGCCTTTGATGAATTCGGTAACAGAAAGTTGCGACGCTGAATGGCATCAGGTTTTGGTAGTAGCGCAGTGCCAATTTTGCCGTATTCGACTACGACATTTGGGAAAATTGAATGGAAATTTATCCAGGAAAAGTAATGCAAAATAATAATAATGGAGTAAATAACCGAAGCCAAACATGGCAGTCAAAAAAGAAACCTCACCTGAAGAGGCAAAACCACCATGAAAACCTTCCTGTCGCGCTCTGTGAGGAAGTTCTTGAAAAACGTATATCCCGTACCGATTAGAATGATAGTGCCGAAGAGCAAGGCGCCTTTCAGCCTTAAATCAGAAATAAAATAAAGTGCATGGAGAAAGAGTTGTTTACAAAACTTACAAGTGAGTAATGTAGTAAACCACAGCCCATATTTCACTCTGTTGTCCATATTTACTGACAAAAAAGAAATTAACACCATGGAAGAACAACGATGCAGCTTTCAGAAGCACCAGCGCCGTCATAAGACCGTGTACACGATAGACATTGGCATGGCTGTAATTAGACACGGCAAATTGATGAGTCGTTGATAGATTTTGCGAAAAGTTTTACGGTAAAAAGGATTTTGGAAGTTTCGAGTGATAGAAGTGAGTAAAGTGACGAAAAGGAGCGCACCTGGATAGACACAAAAGTCTACACCAAAGGGCGGCAGAAAGAACAAAAGCCAGTGAAACGTAGAGGAAAAGCTGTGGCTTTGGTATGTCACCAGCAGAAAGGAACGAGCCAACATTACGTTCGACAATCCATACTGTGAAATCGACAGCAACTCGATCACTGCAACAGTATCAGAAAACTCAACGAAAACTTCACAAGTGAAATGTGAGAAAAAAAATCTACGAGGTGAAATTGAAATGGTACCTCTAAAGCATACCTGTACCCATGCGCACGATAATTGAAACAATTATGATAGATAAAATGGTACTTTCCACGTAAATCGTACGGAAAACGGATAGATATCTTTAAAAAAGACGGTTACGTAGTAAAGTTTTTATAACATGGATATTAGAGCGTAAACTATTGACAATCGGAGCACCTACGTTCGCAGAGTACAGCAGATCCTTTTGCACTAGAGGAACGAAATCTTCATATGGCTTCCCAGGATCCCCACCAGAAAGAATTCGTTTGAACTTATCTAGCCATCCTTCCCCATCGCGACGTGTTCGCACCTGCACGAATGAAACATCAATTGAAATCCAAATAAGCAGGGTCGTGGTTTAATTGATATTAATAAATTGATATTAATTCAGTATTACAGGTAATATGAAAGCATGTAATGACTTACCGGAGGCGCTGGCATTGGATTGTTATCCGAATCATATTTCACTGGTTCTACGGTACTTGCATCTTTGGCACATCTAGAAGAATAAATTACTCACTAAATGGAGATGATCTAGCATTCCGCTTCATGTTTCTCCCTTTTCAACAAAATAGACCCTGAATCGGTCCATCTAGTGTGAACACACCCATAAACTCGCACCACTAAACCACTGGTCGAAGTTATTTCCTTTTCCATTTCTCTTTCCTTCTTAGAAAATTCTGATGACTGGTGTAGCATTAGAGAATTAGCGAATGAAGAGTAGTGTGTAAAAATAGAAACGATAAAATGAAATATCACGAAAAAAGAATACTTGTAAATAATAATAAAACCTACTCGTCGTGGGATGGACAGAGATGAATACGTTTTCCAGCCCCAGACCGAAACACGCGCAAGCGTTTTTGAGGAAGATCTGCGAAGAAGAAGAGGGCATCGAAACCTTGATCGGTTTGCTGGAATAAATAAGATTGAATACCTCTTTGGCTCCCAAGGCCCGCTCCTATGCAAAGGCCAGAGAAGCTAGTAATCGCAAACGCGACCGTCGGGCAGCAATCTAACGCACAGCCATGGACACAGCAGAGCGCTGGTACCCACTACATAAGCATTCAAACGCTTTCATGATCTTGAACGGAAGCGAGTGTATGGCTCACACCACAGAAATCGGCAGAGCAATACCCTTTTCTGATGCCACAGCAATGCCGTCAGCACGAATTTACAAAAAAAAATTGAACAGCCAAATGATAATACCTGAAGCTGGCAAACATGAGGATTAGATCCGACTCCCGACGCGATGGAATTACCTCGAGACAACGAGAACCCGATCACGCCCTGAAAGTGGTTTCTACTTTGGTCACATATCCGCCTCATTGAAGGAAACCTACCGATTTATCAGCGTTTTCTCTTGAGTCAACTTTTTCAAGAATTGATTCCGGAACAGTGAAGTTGATTAGTACGAGATCAAAGGTACCACCTTCGGCATAACCAAAGCTGGTCAGAGGAATATTTCGACGAGCATCTCCCTAAAAGTCAGATGCTGCCACGCGATACGACTACACGACTTAGATGACCGCAATCATTCCAAATGAAGGTTTCCATGGCCCAATATATGCAAAGAAAGTCGAAAGACATCTGAAATCATACATAAAGGTACTACTTACCCGTAAAGTGAGATGATGAATCTTGGAGAGGACAAGGTGGAAACAAAGAGCCGAAAGTGCTATTATAAGCATAAGCCGGCTACACTATTTTGTTTCGAACTACTCCTGAAAGAAGGTAGAAATAAATTATAAGTACCACCGGGCAGACTTCAGCAGAACTAAAAACAGCAGTGAACGCTTTGAGATGAAGGAATCTCGCAAACGGAACGCTACAAAACGAAAGATGAAAGATATGGGTCACGAAAAATTAAGCAGAAAGAAAGTAGAAGTCAATTAAAAGAAAACACTATAAGTCGAATATTTTCACCCCATACCCGATGAGACCATGCTGAAATGGCACTGACAAAAGTAATGAACAACCAACTGGCCAGATAGAACTATTTCAGCGACGAATTCTCCGCAAAATAATGCCGAATAACTAATTTAACAGTTCCAGTAACGACCCAGTCCAATAGTAGTAGAAATGGAACCGATTATCGCGTACACGAAATCTGCTAAGGACCTCAACGTGCGTCCTTTAAGCGCTGAGCTACATGGCGACTCATCTCACCTCGCTGCACAGCGGTCTGAAGCACCCGAACGCATTCTTCCACTTGAGATTTGTGTCGTTCTTTAGTCAAGTTGTTTGAGTAAGAGTTATTGTTCGTTGAAACGTTGTTCCGAGTTCGTATTTTTTCTCAATTCACGTGTTAAGGTTTCGTGTTACAAGTTTTTCTTACACGGGTCACTTGTCTGTGGCCTGTATGTTCTTCCATTTAATATAGCTTATTCCTGCAGCACAACGATTTCAATTCTCATATTCTATTCTATTTGAATAGCTTTGTTTTTGATCTTAGAAAGCACACCCTTTAAATACTCCATTAAATGCTAAATGCTTGCACTTTTACTAGCTATTAATGGTCGTTTAATGGATTCTAGCCTATTTGTGCAGGCACTCCATGCAACGATTGCGTGCCCCTAGAATCAAGTAATTAAACAAAAAAAAATCAAACAGGAAGGGCGTTCTCATATTCCAAAGTGAATGACGGCATCCGTAAGAGAGTGTAACAAAGTTGCTCGTACTATCATCTATTTTAACATGATGTCCCTTGTTTTCCTTCAGCGATCTAGTGGCTACGGTAGCTGGTCGTGAGTGACCCCGCACATGTCGAGTGCGTGTGTGTGTGCCAAAGGTGTGCACTGACCTTGTATGCCTCCGATTATCGATCGATTCACAGGCTCGTGTACCTCACAGTGCAGATCTGTACAGATGCACTGCACAACCAGTTCTACTGTACTATTAAAGGACAATCGTGGTTCCTATTGTTTGCCTTACACTCCACACCTTCCTATTTTATTTGTTTCCTTTTTTGAGTATTGCTTTCGTAGAGAAATCGCGTCAGGCAGGAGGCCTTTTTCTGCTCATCATAGATGAGTGCATTCATTGTGATGGAGAGAAAGCTATTAATTATTCAGTTGCTAGAATATACTATTGAACGTTTTATCTAGCCCCTTTTGGATGGCAGTTTAATGAGAAAGGTCATTCGTCGTCTTACTGAAGAAAGAATTTCAAAGAATTCTTTTCACTTCCTCTCTCCAAGAATCGCGAGTGGTTTTTGCTCATGGCTTGGGAAGTTATTTTTCGTTTCTTTGATTTACTTTGAACAATCAGTGAACAATCAGCACGTTTTCGGCGGTACGAAATTCCTCAGATTCGTCACCGTTCGGACACCGCTATCATGTTATAGTTGTGCAGTCTTTACTTTTTTGCCTATTTTGACGGTTTTTACATTCCATGTGTACGGTTATCGATTTTTTTTCATTTGTCAAAAAACGTGCATGCCATCAACACTACTATTTATACTTGTTGAACATATGTGTTGTTGCTATGATTTTTTTTTGAGACAAGGATATGTTTTACGGAAATGGCATCAAATTTTGCTCACTGTCAGTCTTTCCTGATATGTTTGAACAAACTCGAATTCAACCAATCGAATTCGATTGGGAATCGAGGATCCAGAGTGGCGCAATTATTCCCACAACCGGGACAAGTTCCAAGGGACTTGTTTTCGGCCTAGTAGTACTTACGTCTTTTTCCCGTTATTTTTCCTTCTCTATTATAGATCTCGGTACATCCTGCTTCTATTTGTGGCCAACTCTTTCACGTTATGAATGTGCCATTTTGTTGATCAGTGTGCCCGTAATCGGCTTCTGTTATCTGCGTCAAATGGCGATTTTTCTTACGTTTATCCCTTCCGCTACCCGTTTATCGATTGGAAAAAAACACTCCCCTAGTAAACCTATAATCGCTTACTCAATTGAATATGAAATGTTCGCGATATATGTACTTAATTCTGAGGTTTTCGATAGAATTTGCATTTCCGGCCCTTGGGAGCACGACGGGCAAGAGTACGTATGAATGGTTCTTAATTACGCGAGTTCCGTCTACTTTCCGCCCGTTTCATTCCGGTCCGTCGGAGATCTGGTCCTTTTCTGGCGCCGGCCGTCATCCTTATCGCTTTCGCCCTTCTTATCGTACTGTTGAGTGTAGGTGTTGTTTGGTTCAGCTATGAGAATGGTGGTCATTCAGACCAGGATCAGTGGTGTGAGTCATCATATGGACGTCTTCACAAAAACTCTAACATTCCTCTACGATGCTGTAGCATGTCCCCATTACACTAGTTAGGATCGGGATATATTTTTAAATGGCAGATCCGATTCACTATGTTAATATGTAGCACACGCTCAAAGAACATCATCGTTTTCCGATAACTTGTGCGAGCTGTGGCTCTTTCGTTGTTCCGGCTGTTTCGCTCGCTGTTGGCGTACTAAGGTTGAAAAAAAGATGATTCTTGACGAATGGTCCGACTTATCTGTATGGTTTTATTTGCGGCGTTTTTTTCTCGTGTTAAAATTTCCTATTTGCAGCGAAGCTGTTCGGGACTAGTTTTCTATGATTCCTGAGCAATAGGCGCTGCTTGCAAGTACGGTGATTTCTAATGAATATTTTTCTGTTTTTTTTTTGGCTTTGACTTTCAATCAAGATCTTCATCGATCTTTCATCCCAGCAGTTTTTCAAGGCTTGTATACTGGTTGTGGTGACTTGCCGTTGAGAAAATGCCATCATTTTTCTGCATTCCGTTAGCATGTAATCGACAAATAGATTCGCTCGATCGTCGGCAGAACAACCTTCAGGTAAGGTTTTTTACAGTTGCGGTTTCCGAAATGTTTTGCCTTTAGTTTATAATGGCGCTAGAGACACGAATTCTTCTAGGCTGTACCTCATGACATTGATCGCTATCGGGGTCTTGAAGAGCTGCTGTTGGCAATGAATCACATCAAGGAGTTGCCAAAGGTGTGGATCGCCTACATGTTACTTTTCCCACTTTAACTTTTAGAGCTTTTATATTTCCATATAATACGTTCGAAGTTACAGAGCAACGTTGGTTAAATAAGGGGATCTGTTTTTAGACTCTTTTTCGGCTTACGAAACTCCGTCTGCTGGATTTGAGCGATAATGATATTTTCTGTGTTCCTCCCGAAATCGCTTCATTATCCAACCTCGTAGAGCTGAACCTTAGTAGAAATGGCAAGTGAATTGCGATTGTTTTCACCATTGTGACAAAGATTATTGAACATGTGGATTTTTTTCAGATATTTCCGACTTACCTGAGCAGTTGAAAGAGTGTAGGATGCTCATGATATTGGATTTAAGTTCTAATCCAATCACAAGGTAAGCTGAGGACGAGATGTTATCCATTCGTACTGTTTCGCGGATTGGCTGTTTGGAATGTTATGCTAAAATTTCAGATTGCCAGAGACAATAGCCCACTGTGTTTCATTGACTCACCTTGGTTTGAATGATGTGTCGTTAACTCAGCTACCAGCTGATATCGGACAACTGGTTAACCTTCGATCACTAGAGGCCCGTGATAATCTTATCCGATCATTGCCGACAAGTATTACACTTTTGAAGAATCTACAAGTAGTGGACCTCGGACAGAATGAGCTCGATCAGCTGGTGAGTCAGTAGACCAATAGTTTGCTCTAAGCTGATAGTCAAACCGTATTCCGATAAGATGTGTTATGATCTTTGTTCAGACAGTATTTTTATCCCGCTTTTTTTTTCTTGGCAGTTTTTACTATTGACAATTTTACGCTCGGAATTTTATGAATGTTGGGTACACTTTTTCGTAACCGTGAATGACTTCTCCTATAATCGTTCCTCACCGTGATTCCATGCGATAGCCATCACATTTGATTACATTGAGACCTGTTTCATTGCTGTCGATGTGTTACATTATGGTTGGGGGAGCACCAATAATTCATGAAATCTACGCATTTCATGTCATTACTGGTTCCGCTAATAAAAACTGCTCTCTTGCCCAGACAGTGTTCCGGTTTGAGCGTAATAAGTATATTCTCTTTTTTATGAAATGTTTCTCTTTGGTTTCCGTTTCTGACAGACTTGTTTCAGCCAGCTGAAATGGGTTGTCTCGAATCGTTACGAGAATTGTACATTGATTCCAATGATTTGGAAACCCTTCCTGAACAAATTACGAAGTGTCGGCTTTTGGAGCAGCTTGGTGTGTTTGGAATGCTCAATTTGTTCTCACTTTAAACTATGGTTTTTGCTGGGACGCTCCTCTTTTCTCATGATGCGTTTGGTTGCAATGTTTAGACGCAAGCGAGAACCGCCTTTGCACTTTGCCTGAGGAATTCGGGGACCTATCGGAGTTGACTGACGTCAATCTTTCGGACAATGAATTACAAACAATTCCAAATTCAATAGGTAGATCTTTGTTTTGCCACGAATAGCTTTTGAATTCTTTGGTTGTTTTGTCGTATCTGTTTTTATCCGTTTATTATAGGCCGCTTGAAGAAACTCACGATTTTGAAGCTTGAAAAGAATCACATCCATCAATTGACTCAATCAATCGGGAGCTGCGAACAGTTGACGGAGCTTTTTCTCACCCATAATTTATTACAAGTGAGAAGCACTTGAATTAGCTTCCACTTTTCCAGCTGACCTTGTGACGTTCTTTACATTGATTTAAAGGTTGCTGTTTTGATGTTTAACAGCTCGAGACTTCTTAAATTTCAGGAACTACCATCATCGATTGGAAATTTACGCAATTTGAAAAACTTAAATGTGGATCAAAACAAGCTTTCTGCCATACCGACAACGGTTCGCTCGTTTTTATTATTGTCATAGGGTACTTTCATATTCAATCAATATACTTTAAGTTTGCTCTTTTTCAGATAGGCGGCTGCACAGCGCTAACGGTATTGTCGTTGAGGGAAAATGAAATCACCGAAATCCCCATGGATATCGGGAAATGTGAGAGGTTGACGGTGCTTGATCTGTGCAATAATCGGCTAAGTCATCTACCGTTCACGATTAATGTCTTGTTCAAATTGCAAGCGCTCTGGCTGAGTGAGAACCAGGTATGCTGTTGGACCTTTCTTGTTTGATTATGGGTGCTTGAATACCATTGTAACGTTCTTATTTGATGGTATAGAAGACTCATGCTGATCGAGTGTGAAAAAATAGAGTGATGTTTGTGTCGCTTAGTGAAACGCCATAAATTTATTGCGAAATACTCTAAAGCTTTCTACAAAAGGGTGCGAAAATATCGTAAAAGCTCTCTCGATAGTTTGTTAATATTTTGGCGGTTTTCGGCTTCTGCCACCTTGGCCTATCTTGACTTGTGGTTGACTTAAGGTTGAATGAGTTTCACAGTTAGTTGGGTTAGCTCAGCTATCAACCTGATCTGTTGAAATCATTTTTTTATTCAAATTTAGGAGGGAAGGTGCAACGATGTTTCTATTTTAGTCACAAGCAATGCTGAAACTTCAAGTTGAACGTGATCCTCGTACTGGTGTGAAAGTGCTTTCGTGCTATTTATTACCGCAGCTCAGTGCTCACCCACAGAATGGTAGGTTCATTTGTTTACTTATTACATACGTTCTATCTTTATTGCTTTGGTGTTGTTTTTTTTATTAAGCTTGTTTTTTAATGACTTTTGGCGATGTTAGTGGTACTTGAGACCAACCACGACATATCCTGAAGATGCGGTTTTGTTTTCTTGATGGTCGCTTCTCAATGTTTAATTTATACCACTATTATGGTTCTCTCGAGGGCCGTGGGCGTTTGATTGACTTATTCTTACTGAAAGAATGGGCGATGACTTTGAGGGTTGTAGTATTTCCTGAAAACATGGCCAAACGATGGATTTTGTGCGATACCAGTGTTATCAGTCATGACAATCTACGTCGTTTGTTTGAAGATCGTTCTGGTCAAAATCGAGCGTTTGTCGGTGGTCCCAAAGTGCACTTCCCTGATCAAGATGCGACGGTGGATGACGAGAAGGTAGTGTACGTTTTTTGTGAATTTTTGTTTGTGTTAAATATTCGCGAATTTTCTAGCTGCCGATTGGACAGTTCGAGCGTCATGATACCCCACACCCGAAGCCACAAAAGCTCAAGAAGAGCAGCATTGATGGACATGTTATTCACCATGATGGACAGACTCCAGTATGTGATTTGTTTTAGGTTGCTCTGGTCGCAATGATTTTTTCGAATTATGAATGCTTTGATTTGAATGAGTGTAATCTTATTTTCAATTTCAGAATCAGCCAGTGACACTTGCTTTAACTAAGAAGCCAGGAAATAGTATCGACACCTCACCAACTACAGCTCCACAACCGGCTCCACGTTCTGCTCTGAAGTTCCAAAGTGTTCCACCGACAGAGTGAGACCACACTTTTCTACTTTCTGATTTTGAAACCTTTTTCATTCTCTATAGTATTAGGGTAAGATGCTGTGGCAGATTTGACTTTCAAATACCTTTCCAATTTTTCCTGTTACTTTTGTTTTATTCTCAGACAAACTTATACATTTTCCTCCCGTTGGCGCATGACGCCTCTCTGAAGATATATTTTTTGGAAGAATTAATTCTTTCGGCGAAGCATTAGTCTTCGCTTGTACGCTCTAGATCAATAATGGAGCAATAAAAGAAAATTAATTCACAGTAGAGCTTCGCGATGGCTTCATCTCGAAATAATGTGATTTATTTGAGATACGAGCCAGAACACAGCGCTTCTGTTCAGGAATCGCAAATAGTGGATCGCGGACAGGTTAGTGTTTACTCATCATTGCTTATTTCCATCATCTGTTTTTGAATCAATGGGGCTGTGCTTTTTTCGAAGTAGATCTTTTGTAATGAGCAAGATGTTTATTATGAAAGCTCTTTCATGGTATTCTGTCATTATCAGTGCTGCTATACAAGTCATGTGCTGACTCACAAGTCTAGACGTTTGTCTTTGAGATTTTTTTTCGTAGCTCACAGTCATTCGTCAAAAACTAGTACATACCTGAAATACCATGTTGGTATGTTTTGCATGATTCAGACCGCCATCGCGGCCTAGAAGATTACTAAAACGATCTCTTAGGTTTTCTAAGCTCAGGGCATGAATCTGTCTGAATATTCTCTATGTCCATATTGCTTATGATACTTGATGATTCATGGGTTTTATTGGGGAGTTCAGGCAAAGAATGTTGCTTTCGCAAGCAACGTTCCGGAGGCACCGTCGTCGTGCCGGCTTAAACGTATCAACACGCCTCATTTCAAAGGAGTGCGCGGTTCGCTGCAAACCGCTCCTGAAAGAGTGGGTTTGGTGACCAAAAGAACCGTCTGGAACGTTATCTTGCTAGCATGCTACACTACTGCATGGTTGCAGTTTTCAGGAGAATTCATGATATTTTGAAGCGGCTCCTCATTACGAAGAAATACCTACTGTCCCCGAAGTCGTACACTGATCCTGTAAAGCTAGCTTGATGATCTCTCACATCGCCTGCTGTCATCAATATGCTAACTAATTTTCGTTAATGCGGTTATTATTTGTTTGAAATAGTTTCAAGTTTTTCTTTTACCATGCGTGAGATGGAAGTGTAGTGCCGTAATGGGTTTTACGTTTACTCAGATTTGATTTTTTTTAATTCGTTTTCATTTTGGCTGACATGGTTGATTTGTTGCTGTTACTTGTGGTGTGTTAAGCTTTGAAGGGCATAATGAAAGGTGGTCGATTGACGAATGAAAAAAGCATGTTTTGTGCTACTTTACCTATCGAATTAATGAGAGATCCCTTTTGATTTGCCTTGCGCTTTTTGTCGCATGAACCGGTTTGGAAGGCAAATCGCTGGTTATTTGTGAATTATTTTTGGAAACAACCCGTCTGAATGATTCAAACAGATAGCTGGCTTTGAGCCTTCAGCATTAAGTTTTCTAGATACTTAAATTTATGTACTTAAGGAAAGACCGCCAGTACCTGCTCCAGTGATTAGAGAGAATGTGCCACGACGAATTGCGATTACACGGGATGCAAACGGTCACCTGGGCCTGTCGATAGCTGGTGGTTTAGGCAGCACACCTTTTATTGATGGTGACTGTTCGCTGTTTGTTTCGCGAGTGACACCGGACGGGCCCGCTCATCTCGCTGGCCTTCGAGTGAACGACAAGCTAGTGAAGTAAGTCATCATAATTTACTTCTGTTCTTTGTATGGCAGTCAGTTTTCCTACTAAGTACTCCTAGTTGGATATTTTGAAGAGTTAACGATGTTGATGTTTTGTGCGCTTCTCACGATGAAGCGGTTCGTGCAATGAATGAACCAGGTGACGTCGTGGAGCTTACGATCCTGAGGAAAGAGAATCTCAATTCTTCCTTCATGGTATGTCATTTCATCTGTATGAGGGTGCTGTTATGCTGAGCCTATCTCTGCTAGGGTAATTTTTTATAGAGGTCCCCTGACCAATCTCTGGACGTTTCTTTTATGACAGATCCAGGCGATTTGCCAATGAATAATCGTGAAACACTCAGTGTAACATTGAAACGGTATGTTCAATTCTGATGAAATTGTGTTTTCCTAGATGAGCTGGTGAAAATTTAGTGCTGTTATTGCTTTCAGGGATTCAATGGGTTCTCCTGGCTTTGCTGTAGCTTCTTCGCATGGTGGACTCTCGGATGGTTTGTTCATAAGCTACATTACACCTAACGGTCCAGCAGCATGTCAAGGAAAACTTTCGGTAGCGTAGCTCTTCACTTTTTCTTTTTATATATTATATTTGAACTCGTCATTAGTTTTTGTATATGGTATTATTTTTGTAGACTTATGTTTGAGCGAAAGTAATTTTTCAGACGAGAATGACACTCTTCACCTTCTGTTTTTGTTTCTTCATATTTCTTGTTGAAGGTTGGAGATCGAGTGGTTTCGATTAACGGAACTCGGCTGAAAGGAGTGCGCCATGACCAAGCGGTTGCGTTATTAACTGGTAACCCGCATGAAGATGTTTACATAACAGTAATGGTACGACTTGCGTTCGATTTTTTTTCCGTTATAAAGATGCTGATATGTAAATGTTGAAGCGCGACCTCGTCCCACGTATTTCGCCACATCCTTTGCCGTCCACCCCTCTCATCACCTCATCTCCAACTGCTCAATCACCTCAACCGGAAAATGTACGTTTTATTTTGAAAGTTCGTGTTTTTTTTTTCGAATTAATGCTTCCTTTCAAGTTTAGAACTTTGACTGAGTCTAAGAAGTGACAAACTACAAACTGATATTTGATTAGCTGCTGATGTTTTGTGAACTTTCAGCCAAATATCATACCGATCAGCAAGCCACCAACAACTCCAATACCGTATAACCCTGTTGCAGATACCTTGTCATGGGATGGTACTACTGAAGAGGTGCGTGTAGCACATAGTCATTGTTCAGTAGATTAGTCCATCTGGGGTCACTAAAGTGGTTCTAGGTTGATGTTTGATGCCTTCAATAGCTTTTGGTATTTAATCGTCTCGGATATGTCGCTTTAATCAGTAATGAACAATCACTTGAAGGCAAAGGTCGGGCTCAGGCAAGCTAGAGGAGTAATTCCCGTGCCTGGAGGTTGTATGTGGGTAGCTGCACACATTGCAGCAATTCCCCACCTTGAAAACGTTAAGGCCCCGGGGCGTTCGGTTTCAATCCAGGGCCGCCTGGTCAATCCAGGACCGCCCACCTCCAGAAGTGGTGCGTGGCTGGCATAATGTGTGAAATCAGCTAGGTTGCCGTATCAACCGATAGAACGGCTGACATCTCCAGAAAACTTGTTTGTGTGTGCCTCTTTCCCAAGCCGGCCTCCTTCACTACTAGTGGTAAAGAGGGTTTTGTTAACGGCTTTGTCGACGGTTTTTCTCAGTTTTTTTTTCACCACTGTCGTTCCACTTCGCATCTCTATACTCAGTTTCAATCGCCATAATACCCCCTTATTAAGTTAAGTTTAGCCCGACTTTTGCCTTTAATGTTCGTAGTGACGGTCAATTTTGATCAGTAGTCCTTTAGTTAGAATAAGTCTCATAAATTTATAATAATAAACGACCTGCTGGTTGACCGTAGTTTTAAGGTGATCTTAATGAAAGACGGCAAATCGCTGGGATTGTCCATCGTTGGTGGTTGCGACCATTCCAGTCATCCATTCGGTGTCGATCGTCCAGGAGTATTCATTAGTAAAATCGCCCCAAATTCACCAGCTGCAAGGTATGCTCATCGCTGTAAAGTCTATCAACTTCTTAACCGTATCTTTGCTTTTGTCCAGAAGCCAGCGCCTCCGAATTGGTGACAGAATTCTTGAAGTAAACGACCGAGATATCCGAAAAGCGCAACACATTGAGGCTGTCGAGGTACTTGTTCAGTTGTGGAAAATTTATAGGCAATGCAAGGGCTATTTTCCATTTTCAGGCTTTGAAGCAAAGTGGTCCTCGAGTGGTGTTGTTAGTCACACACGAACCACAACCACCTGGCATGCGAATAATCGAAGTATCCCGTAAAGATGGTCAATCGTTAGGTATCTCAATTCATGGCGGTGTTGGAAAGCCAGCTGCCAATCCCGCCGATGAGAGAGACGAGGGAATATTTGTCGAAAAGGTGAGGGCACGCTTCTGTACTCACCATTGTATAAGTGAAGTCCAATACATAACTATAGTGACGTCGAGTTTCTACCTAATTTTCTGTTTCTAATTTTTACCGCCACTTGTATAATAGTCAATAGTAAGAGTTGATCCTATTATGGTTGCGTGTTATGTGTGTGAAGGTGTAAATGATGTCGCTGCTTAGGTTTTAAAGATGTGAGTTCAGGTGGAGCCATCGAGTGTGTGCCATCGTGCTGGTCTCCAGGTTGGACATCGACTGATCGAGGTGAACGGAGACTCGTTGCTGGGCTGTGATCAGTCCGAAGCAGCGGCGTTACTTCGAGCCTCGAATGATCTTCGAATTCTCGTCTGTGATGGATACAATGTGCCACATATTCCTCGGATCGATGATAGAAGCATAACATCAACGGTAAGTGTTTTCAAGCGAGGCATTCAAACTTCCTTTATATTCTGAATATCTGTACAACCGTACGTGTTTCAACGAGCTATGGTAGTGTATATTGTTTACGCCAAAACTGTGGGATTGACAGCAGAGGCTCCCTGATCAATACACATATTTCATTCTGTGTCGGGCTGTGTGCATGTAGAATCAAATCTGGTATCTGTACTGTTACATGACTGCCGGTTTCTCTTTAATATTCGCTCCCTATGATTCGTGCCTTTTGCAAAGCTCTTTCTTTTATTTATTTTCATTTATTTAAAAATGAGATGTAAAACTCACAATCACTACCTGAGTCCTACGACGTTCTCATGGAATCGGTAGCTGCGTTCCCTAGAGTTGTTTGTCTTGTTGCGAGCGCCTTAGGAATCTGCCTTTTTCGTATGTTCTGTAATGCTTGTTTCATGGTTGTTGTATGTTGTCCAAGTGAACTTTGTATTATTACATAATTGTTCTGTGTATTCTAGTCCGGATTTGCACGTGATTGTGTACTAGTCTTGTAGTTGCGCGTGAGATGTAGTAATATGTGCCCATTGATGACTTCAGCATGTCAGCTGCTTGAGATACCTTTAAATCATCAGTTTGTTCTCGTCCTGTGATGCTTGTTTTGTGTTCACGTACATCAAATGTACTATACATTCCTTATTATTCATATGTTGTTGTTCTCAGTTAACATATTTATTTCCTTCTTGTTATTTTTTATGTCATATGCTATCATAGAAAATGTTCTAAATGAAAATCCATAACAATGTGTTTGTGTGCTCGTTTTTCTTCTTTTCTTCAATTTCCACAATTCTTTCACTTCTCAACAACTATAACCTACCCCACCTATTCACCTATTTCACAGTTATGCATGTAGCTAATTTGACTAGAAAAAATGATGATTAAGCAAGCAGCTTCATTTCATTTATTTTTCTCTAATGCTGTCATCGCCCTAACAAACTCGGTATATTTGTGGAAAGTTTTTGTTTATTTAAGCGATCCACATCGAACAACGCGCTATCTGATGAGAACAAGCTTGTGTCGACCACATCGATATCGTCAAGTGTCGCTAATACTTCTGTTCAAAATGGTGATCATCATCTAGAGGTTTCGTCTCGATTCGATGAACCACCACTGGCATCGTCGAGTCCTTTGCCTACGGCTCCAGTTGCATCTGCAGCTCCTGCTCCTGCTCCTGCCCCGGTATTTTCGTTTCCATCGTCTTTGTACACTGAGTTTCAGTTTTCATTTTCTCGTGAAGTGGTGCTGATGTTGGTGTTGATGGTCGGTTTTGTTCGTAATTAGTGGGGTACTCGGCATGCTTTTTTCTAGGTTGCTTTTTATGTGCTCATTTGGTTACTAGATCCGAGAGAAGATATTTTTAGTTCCAGGGAGAGTGTAATATTATGTTTTATGTGGCGTTACACTAGTGTAGAAGTCACAAATGTTAGTTCAATGACCGCTATCAAAAATCAAGTGACGCGAACAATGGCAGTGCGGAGAAATGTTAAGTGAAAATATCGTCTAGAGTCAATGTTATCAATTGTGCTTTAAGAAACCCGTCCGAGTTCCGCCTGCTGTTGCCCCAAAGCCCACGTTGAGAAACTCTCAGGTCTGTTTTCCGTTGCAGCTTCTCTTGGGGCTATTTGTACTCGTACGGCCTGATTTGTTAGGGCAATAAGATCGTCTTTTACAGTTACAAAACGTTCCACCGTTGCTTGAAACAGCAAATCCGGAAAAGCTCACGTTTGCATCGAAGCTGAAGAATTTCGAAAGAGAGATCGAGGTACAGAAGTTGGGAACAAAGCAAGCATCTGCAAGCAATCTACCATTGCCTGGTAAGTAATCCTCGCATCTGACCTGGTCGTTAATAGTGCGTGGAATTACTCAGTTCATTTAATATATTTGCCTTCAACAGTTACTTCGATTTCAGCTATGAAACCGTTGCTTAGCGATAATGACGCTCAAAAATTAAAAGAAGATGAAAGCCGGAGAAGACTAGCACCTTGTCGCGAAGCGATTACACCGGAAGAAGGCGCTGACGGTTTTGAGAAGATGCTCGACGACTGGTATTGTTATGGAACTGTTCCTCTTTCAAAAATGGGATATCTGATGTGTTTGGTTGCGGATCCTGTATGGTATTGGTTCGAATGTATTTTTAGCGTGAAGTCGAGGGTCACCCACACAAGGAAAATCGAAGATCTGTCTGCTTCACCAAATCTGATTTCAAGTGAAGCACCTCTGAATGATGTTGAAAAACGGTGTGATTTTCAACGATTTCGAATTTTAGAAATTAGCCCCGTGTACTATTGGTCTTCTTTCAGAGCTATGGAGCAGCAAAGGCGCAGTGAATGGCGAGCAGCTCGTTTGAAAAGCCTTGATCAAGAAAGGGCGGAAGCAGATGCGATCATGGACCGACTACAGTTAATCTCAGTAAGTGCGATTTCAGGACGTAAGCGCACGAAAACGGGATTTGGCTTAGGCTTATGGTTTTCAGCTACAATCACTGATTTAGTTACCCGTAATTGCTGAAGATGGATGCGCTCCTCCGTCGGAGAGGATACTCAATAATGACATTTCTGTTGAACGAAGTGTCGTAGTGGATGCAGTGACTGGCGAACGAACTGTTACACTAGTAGAAAAAAGTGTTACCAAACGGGAGGCAAGTTTGTTCTTCGATTCCATCGATACACTTTTTGATTGGAATTAGATTTTTCTTTTTGCTCATATCATTCGTCACGGAACATATTTGTCAGGAAAATTCTGCAGACGTTATTAATAAGAGACGTATCCTCAAATCGAAAGTTTTTTTTTCGACTGGCAAAGGTACCTATTGTTGTGAAAGTTTACCATCCAGTAGCGACTTAACTTTGCACGCATCGCGCTCCCTGCTCTGATATTGACGCTGGTGGGGATGGTTCATTATACGTGGTTTAACATTCGCCCTCGCCCTGTTCTACACTTCTTTCGTGCACTTAATTTGCACAAGATACAAAGCCAATGTGTGAAGGGGGAGGGGGGGGGGGTTGACAGCCAAAATGGAGAGGGGATAAGTAACCCTAGGATCTCAGGATGTGCTACTCTGTGCGCGGTGAGGGACAAGTTGGTAAGAAAAGTTGACGGTTACTCGTATGCTAGATTTCTCTGAGGGGTAGGCGTTCCCCTTCCTATTCTCCATGTCATCCCTCTCCAGCCTAGTGGAAGGGTACCGCAGTAGTACACTCCACTGACTGCGTGGCTGTTACAGTCCCCTGCTGTTAAAGCACTATTATATGAATAACGAATCCATTTATAACTGATAGGGGAAGGAAGATACCATCGGGAGGGTGGATGGAAGAGAGGATAGCTCACAACTTCTACGCAAGCATCATGGCGTCCAAATTTTGTGTTATGCTTTTTCCTGCTTAATTTTGTCAGGGCACTTCATTATGTCTAACATCAACATTTTCGTGCATTGAGGGTCATTCTAATGGCGACGATATGCTGTAGGTTTTTCTACTTTACTTGCATCTCAATCTCAAGAATTTGAAGCAAATGATGTCTTAGATGATGATGCGAAGCCGCGCAATTTTTCATACTAGCTATACTTTATATCTATCATAGCTTTCAGATTGATGTCGCAATCGCAGGTGGTGAGATCGATTTTGCAGATAAATGACATAATATCCGTGTGGTAATCATAGAGCTTGGTTATATTTGGTTTGTGTACTCAAAATAGCGGTTATTATCAAAATTGTTTTCATATATCTGTGTTCGAATGCGGCTATTGTTGAATGATGTCATGCTTGACCATCGAATTGCTTTACTAATCAATTTCTATATATTATGTTACGCTTGTCTGCAATTACCACTTATGCCTATAGCAACAGTCTTTGAATTTCGTGTCTGTATAGTCATTGTATGTGCACTAATGCAGCTGATGGCTTGTTTGATTTCAAGCCAGCATAAAAATGCTCTCGTTCTCATCATCACCCGTTACCGTCGCTGGCGTTTCTTCTCCTATTATAATCCTTTTCATCAAAAAGGAGGAAGGGTGTATTGAAAGAGGAGTGCTGTACTCTTCAATAGTGATTGCGACTGGTATCGTTGCATGGTGATCTTGTTCTCGTTTCTTGTCCCTCATCAATTACTACCCTAGAAGTGTTTATATGTAGCATTGTCGAACATGTTATGACCTCGTGCTGATATTTCTTCCATACCCTCATCACTAAATTTGTTCCGAATACTCTTGTGCCTCTAAACGTTGTTAATCATCGTTTTCTTTTTTCCTCCAATGTATGTTACACAATGTTCAGTGCAAGTGTTCCTTTTGTGTCTTCAATCATCTTTTTTTTTACCATGCACTGATCTGCGCCGATCTTTATGGATTGTTCCCTTAATGTTCAAGTATAGCATCAAATTTTCCATCCTTTTTTTTGTTCACGTATACGAGGTATACTATTTATTATGGGAACGTTGTTCTCGAGATAAATATCTAATAATCCACATGGACACCGGGGATATACAGTGGCTATGGTCTTGGGAATGGATATTGAGCAATAGTAATTTTCGTCGTTAAAGGCAGCGATTGCGAGAAATTGAAGAAGGGTTTAGTGTGACGTGACAGGTGCTAAATGGTCGCCAGTGGCGAAAAAAGCGGAAAAATCCGCCGAGAAAACGCAAAACGGGACCCCTTTTTCGGCCATTCGTTTTCGTTCATCAATAGGTAACAGCTCAGAAAGTTAAGTTATGAACGAGTCCACCGCAAGTGTTTGATGGCACCATTGCCAAATCACCGAGGTGCTCCATTTGCGCCGCCCTTGGCCACGCAGCTCGTCCAAATAGACATATTACATGGTTCGCGGATCGCTTTTTGGGGCGGAGTGCTTTCGAAGTTCTGCTCAGCAACCAGCGCACCTTTCTTTGTAAAATGGCCACACTTCGCCTCCTGAACAGCCAAGTGACTACTTCGTGTGGTGCTTATGCTTCCCCGGTGTTTACCCTCTTTATCGTAATCGCTCCCTTTAAGGCCGGTGTCAGAGTGCGACGGATCATAGCAATCACATGTGCCTCGATATAGTGCGAGGAGCTCTCCCATCCCGCCGCCATTTCTGTTTTATGGTGATGGTTGAATGACGACTGTTCGAATCTACTCGTTTCATATTCAGTCTTTCAAGTGTTCAAATGGGGCACTCGTAATTCTTGCGATTCGCGCGAATCGCGCTACGGATTGCAGACATCGGCCCCAACCTAGCGGATTACGTGGTCTGGTGACCATATCTCTGATCAAGTCCCATCTGGTTCAATCTGTCCTTCCAGCCTCCGGTTTCGGTCAGTCTGCTTGGTACCGATGGCTGCATTGGCTAGCATACTAGCAGGTCCTCGCAAGTGGACGTTTTCACTGTGCATTGAGGAAAAAACCATCGATTGGGCTGATTTATATCATTTCTTTGTCGTGGTCGTTGGTCTGCAAATTTCTGTTGAGGGGGATAAACAGAGTGGTTATTCATTGTTCGGGAAAAAATGTGATCGAGGCTTCATCGGAATGAACGGAAGGCAAGATGCGGGGATAATGAGGACTAGAAAGCCTTTTAGTGCAATGAGGTGTAACCTCATCGAAACGTGCTCCTCCTTGTTCCCGGAGGGACTTAGTCGCTGTCCATTCAGATTTTCAGGATTTTCTAAGGGTGAGAAGGTTGTGGTATTGTGGACTATGCATTCTTGCTAGGGTTTCCCAAGTGTGGTACCCAGTGACGAAACGATTTTTCATGTTCAGGTGTATTTTCAAGCTGTCACATTCAATATTAAAACTTGTTCATTCCTTTCATGTTGGCATGCGCCATGTTCTTGACTCGCAACAGTGCTGGATGGCGTTGTATACATAAGGGAATATGCCTATGTTCAAGTGTCCTTACCATCAAAGGCTAGCCTGATATCAGGTCATTAACCCTTAAGGTATGGACGAGTTGGCTAGCCCAGGCATTCGGTAGCGATTCGATCCTCGGAATCTCGTACAGGCCTACCAGTGCTCAGGATTTATCCAGTTCTAGCTACAAGTGCAGCGAAAAGCCCAGACCTTGAGCATGACTTGTGATACGATTTGTCTTGGAGACATGCTTCGGTGCTAAGCGTGCCAAGTTTTAGGCTTTGATGGGGGTAGAAATACCGAAACGTAAGCCCGCACACATCTATCATCTTGGAGAGGCCTCTAAGATTATTCACCTCAAGATTCCATGCTAGGATTGTGCGTGAGTCGATCTTTGTCCTCTAGTCGCCAGTCATAGGAAGTTGCTAATGGAAGGGGAGTTCCTGCTTGAATATTTCTTGATTGAGCTCTCTCGAATCTGCTGCAGTAGTGTTTTTGTAGTGAGCATGACACAGGGCTACTTATTAAAGTGAGCACATGACAGCCTGAACCATGAATTTTTGTAAGTTACTCAGAGGCAAAAGTGCTGACCAAAACATTGGATCCTACTTCGAAAGACCGAGAAATACGCTCGACATCATGCTTGTTCGGCCAGTCTATTCTTAGATGAAGTTCTGTTCAACCAGCATTCTGTGCAGCAGTGATCGAGCCTTGTCGCCATAGCAACATCACATTCCAAACAAGCGTGTGGTGTCTGCCTCTGATTGGTTATTGTTCGTAATCCAATGGCAGATCAGTGCAGCTCTACTAAGCATAAAAGCTTCTGATCAAGGGTGACGTCTAATGCACTTTTTTCGATCCGAGTAAGTCATAACTGCACGATAGAAGATATTTTAATAATAATTCACATTTTTTGTAGTACCATTTTATCCCATCACATGCGCTAATACTCATACAACAACGAATAAACTTTGAAAGAAAATGTGATTGTTCAAGTTGATGTGATAGATTCAAGGCACAACCATAGAAAGTCTTAACTATATATTATAAAAAAGAAAACCGCTTATTGTTTTATGTGATTCTAAGGTCTGCTGCGGCAGCTGGAAAAAAATGGAATAATCTCGTCAGTCAGAAATAATGTTCAGTAATAATGTCAATCATCCTCGGGAGCTGTTCGCTGTCGCGATTCGACTTCGGGATGCCAGAGATCAATAAGAAGGATAAGACGTAGAGAAGCTGAGGATGCTCCATCGAATTGTAACTGAAATTCATCGGATTTCCAACAGAAATGTGGTGAGGTGAGTGAGGTGCAACTCCACTGTTTGACTCGTATACCCCAATCAGTGGATGGTGGACTTAAAGGCAAAGTTCGGGCTCAGACTCACTTAATGAGCCTTTACAGTGGCTAGAAGCGCTAGGTACGCAAGTGTAGAGGTCGCGACAATTCCCTACTTAGAAAAGCGTTACTTAGACGCTAGGCGTTAAGAACTTTGACACGCTCCACCTGTTGCGAAACGCTCCGCCCACCGCTCGATATCGACAAATCGTCGCAATGCGATTTGCTATTGTCTCTCAACTCCTACTTCCCTAGCGCTCTCCGCGCTCACATTATCTCTCATCTCCCTGTCCGCCATTTGAACTTGTCCACGGCGTAGAGCAAGAGGCTCGCTTTTCCTATGTATTGCACGATTTTTTCTGTTGTCTCCACTGGCGGTCCACTCTCGCATTTGAGTAGAATTGCCTTATAATTTGATCCTGAATTTTGCCTTCAAGGATACATTGCTTGCTTCTAGTGGAATAGCAAGAGATTCAAGTCCTCCAATTACAATTCAAACAGGGTACGTCAGTCAGTTTCTGCTACAGATTTCTCGTAATTGTATAGAGAAAGACTTAGCTAGGGGGTGCAAGGGGTCCACAGAAGAAATTGTAGGGCAAATGGTGGCTCGCAGGTGATGGTGGAAAAATATACGCTAGTAGTCAGGCAAGGAATATTTTATTGCAGAAAATAATACGGAATTTCGAGGCTGGACTAGCGACGAGCACCTCTACAGCAGCTTAACCTTGCCATGCCAGTTTTGCCTAGTTATGGCGCCTGCCTCGAGGCTGAAACATAGTGAAATATTTATTGAGTTTTGCACCAGCCGAGAGCAGGGCATGAGCGAGCTGGGCTGATCGACGCAGGCGATGTGGTGACGGGCGTTTCTTCCTCAAGTGGCAGCGTACGCCTACGAGTGCACAATTAGCGTAGTTGTTGCACACCATGACTCCCCGCGCTATTAGATGGCTCAGTCGAAGGGTGTGGTATGGACTCGTTGCGCCAGGTGACACAGTTGCTATCGAATTTTTCGTTAGGGATAAATGTCTCCTTTGTTTCAACAAGGCATGACATCCGCAGCCTTATTCCCAAGCTTTGAGATGCGAAATTGACACGGATCGGCATCTTTGGACAGTTCCATCTGCTGCGTATAAGCGAAGTATGATGCTCACCTCATGCTCAAAAGAGTCATCAAAGATAATGAATTTGCCGGTCTTCCATCCACGTTGCTCATTACCCACCCTAAACGACGCTTATTCAAATCATGGCCTTGAGTCAACTTTCGAAAAGTCTTGAACAAACCTAATTCTAGCTTCTGATGGTACAATCAAGCCCAAATGAGCTTGTAACCGACTGTTGGTCGGTCCACAATGTGGTAATATTTGTGCTCCCGAGGATAGTGCCGAAAATCGCATCTGAAAAGTGTTCAATGGAAAGTCTTTTTGCGAGTCAGTATTTGGAAAGCTGATCTTGGAAGCCGCGCAAGCTGTCACAGTGATTGGTGGACTGCCTATGATCTCCAATCACAGCAGTATACAACACGCCGCTTCCTAAGAACGTAAAATGCAAATTTTGAGACAAACTTAACTATGGAGTAAAACACAGTCCATCCAACGGATATTTGGAAAAAATACTAATTTTTGTCTACGTTTGTGAAATTTGGTGTTTGAAAAATGGTTTCTTTACCTGGCTCAGAAGGACATGATAGTACTATTATTACCGTAGAATATTTGTGTAAAAAATCTGTATGATGACAAACCTCAGACTTGCTAGCGTTACTGCTTTCGCGGAATTCTTTCAAAATAGAGCAGGTTTGTGGTGCCATGCGACAATTTTCTGTGTTGAAATGACCGTTTTCCAGAAGTGGAAATGCGATCCATCTTCCATCAACGGTGATTGCCGGATTCTCCTCCTTCCATAAGTAAGGCACCGACTGTAATAATCGAGCCGCTTCAGCTCGGATGGAAACCCATTGGCGTTCAACGGCCTGGAATTGAAGAAATATTTAGAGCAACCTAGTTAGTGATCACCAACAGGACCAATCGTCACGTTGGGAGCAATATTGGAATCGGCACGATCGCCGAGAGGGTCATCCCAACATTCTTCCTTCCCCTCCCCTCTCGAGCAGTCGAAGGTGTCAATAGCGACATTATACCTGCTCATTGGGTACCTCTCCCCCTCCCCTTCCCCCCGCCCCGCTCACAGAACTACAAAGCTGCGTCAAGCCGGGGAGAGGTCTAAATTTCGAATGTGGAACAGCTAATTCTTTAATTTTCATCCATTTTTTATTTTTCGTAGGAACTGCTCTCAGAGAGCGATCCACTCCTTTCAACCGAATTTCTTGCCATCACCATTACTCCTTCGAAAATTCCGAACAGAACTCTGGTCCACGTATCAAAGATAAAACCATGTCTCCCTCCTACCCCGCTCCCTGTTTGAAAATTATTAGACCAACGGATTGCTGCTCTATCTTCACATGTTCTAAAAAAACGGTTTCAAGCAATTCGACGGAGAGTTCACTAGACACATCGTTTTGAGCAGCAGGCAACCGTATTGAAACTTCGCAAGAAATACTGAGGCGCGTTGGGTGGCATCTCGACAAGAAAATAACCGAATTCAGGGCTCAAACCTACCTTGAGATATTTGGAGTAGCCTGTCTGCTCACTTGTCCACCATGCTCTGCCAGTAAGTCCCTCCACGTTGTACATGGATCGTTGTTGGGCAGAGAGAAATAGTCCAAGTGAAGCAGCGTGTTCAAACACGCTATATGCCTGAATTCGTCGCAGAAATGAATCTGCCTCATGAATCCGTCTGGCTCAAATACAACCCTTCATGGTCACTGGGGACACTTTGCAGGCTTTGCTATCTACGGAAACATGGCAGCTTCAGCGAAAACCTGATTTAGTGCTTGACCTGCACAGGTCAATAGTGATACGTTTCTGAGAGTTCTGGCAAACAAAATTTAGGGTATGGAGTAATGCACTATGTAAGTTATTGTGAAGTGAAGAAATTCGATTAGCACGTTCAGAAAGCGGATTTAAGATCTTCGTCCAACTTCACTCCTCATGGTATATGTTTCTTTGCTACATGATCGACTTAGGGTCCTCACCAGGTTACGATCGCGCTCACTTTGTGAGCCAAGGTCCCCTGAATTTTTGTATTATAGAATAGACTACTGAAAGATTAATGAAAATTAACTTAGAAGAGCTAACCTCCGTAGACCTTCCTAGGAACATTAAACCATGTCCAAGGTGATAGTAAAACCTGAAACAGTAACAATTTTCAACCCATTTTCGTGAATCTCTTCTGCAGATTGTGATGAAGGCCCTTTCTCCATCAAACTGTTCATCATACCCAGTAGGAATCGGCGTGCTGGGGCAAATTAAGGAACATACTTCGCATCAGTGATTGAATCTCCTCCTAGACGAAGTCCTTTCTTCATGTATGCTACGCCCTGCTCCACGTTATCTTCAGCGACCTGGAATTATTTAATTTAATGATATATATATATATTATATATATATAATCTATAAAAAATTGATATAATTTTAAAATTGCTGGAAGTTTCAAGTAGCGCTCATTTTGGCGCGAAAGAAGGGTGTTCTCGCTCAATCAGTTTAGATGCTCACGTAAATTGTACACCTGTACTTATCTTTCATATACTGTAGAGGTTTGAGAGATTTATTGGTGAAGCGTAACTATTTGGCAGTGTCAGCGGTGATTCGAATCAAGGTAACGTTTTGTCGCTAAGCAATCACCATAAAAGCGACTGCCGAAGAATGTGAAAGACACAACGAAGTCTGTAAGGTCAATGGAAGTGCTTAATGGTGCCTCCACAAATACCCACAATTCCTACTTCATTCATCTCATGCATTGACCCTCGTGAGATGCGCGTAACGCCAAATGTGGTAATTTCGGCTTGCTCTAGGGTGTTTATAGGTGAGTATATGAGGGACCTATAGAACTGTATGAGATTTTGCAGAAAGTCACCACTATTCCTAGCCCACAATTGATCAGAGCCAAGTTTTGTCATGTCCATACCACGCGATATCTATGGGAGTCTGACAGGGTGAAAATCGTGGTCGGAGATGGGTCGAGGTTACGACCCCCCCCCCCGATAATCGATAATCTGGCACGACCCTCTAACGACAATTATTCAATTAAAATAAATCTTGCAAAACAAAATCTAAAAAAAATCATAAACAATCAAAAAAAATTCTGCAAATAATAGCATAGATTTCACTTGTTATCTATGCACGTCTTCCCATCGCTGCATACGTTGTATAGTACTGAACATACGACATCGAGGAAAGAGGCATTATTCGTGTGACTGAGGCCAAGGTTTGTTCGAAACGCACAGAAATCATTGAAGACAGCGGGTGGTTGCATTCAATATTGATCTGCTGCGATATATCAGAAACATCCGCAGTTATCAAAGGACTCTGAATCAACGGAGCTACGGCATCTCATATGCACTTGGGTAAGATTGCACGAAATTTCAAAAAAAAACGTCGAATCTACACCCTCGATGATACTAAGTTTTGCATTACTCCATTCAAACTTGAAGCAGCTGAGTCGAGTTATGATAGGCGGATGTACGGTTCTCAACAACGCACTAGAATTGTTTTGAACCTTCCTCTGCAGATATGAGGGTCTGCAAGATTCGTCGAATTAATAAATGTCGAGAAGACCGAAATTTTACGCGAGTGTCCTCTTTTCTTTTTTATTTTTTTGTTATTGGTTTTTTTTTTCTTGCACTTCAGAGCATACTCCTCGCTAATGTCGCTAGTTCTGGGAATGAAAGACCAAGTTTGCGACAAGTCGGAGGTTTGTGTTGTTGATCTGTTCAGTTCTTCTATCTTATTGGATTAAAGAGATAATGCGATCGGAGATTCTATAGTCAAAGACGAACGTCCAACTGGAAAATCGCTCCCTCATTACATGCAAGTGTGACTCGCCGGTAATGTCCAACACTCAGAATGTTTCTATAGACAATATCTTTGAACGCAAACAAAGACATAGGAGCATCATCGTCATCATCATTGGTATTGGTATAAGCTAGCATCCGTCTCCACTCACAGTTGCAGAACTGACTAGATACTAATAGATGGGCCTTCGAACGAAACTGTACTGTATAAGAATAGCTGTGTTGTGCTATCCTGTAATCTTAAAACAACTTCATTTGCAGCGCTTTTCTTCACGGTTGTCGTTTTCCGGCAGGGTCCCTAACTAACAGCTCTCATTCTCAGCGACAGGTATTAGGAGAAGAGCTTATGATAGGCGGCAGGAGAGTGCTTTTCAGCGCGTGCGCCATATTGCATCTTCTTTTCGGGGATGCACTATCATTCTTTGTACTTGCTTCAAATACGCCCTTTCATGAAGGTGAGGAGTGGGAGCGACTGAACTGCAAAACCAAATTTATATCAGTTGCTCATGAATTAATATTGTTCATTCTATGCTGCGCTAATACCCTATTACTATCTGCACCATGATACCAATCTTTTACTAACCTCAACAAGTACGAACCCCCATGGACCAGTTCAACATGAACCCCCCTGTCGAGATTTCCTCGACCGATATTCACCCTGATCGAAGCTGGACCGATGTTCACCGCTCTCCGCGCCGGCATTCACTCTCGCCACCCGCGAGCCGTCTGTGTCTCCGTGCGTACGTTCACTCTCGGCATTACTCTCGTCGTCGCGTTGGACTTTGTCCAACGGACGGTTGACCCTGTCTCGACGCCCTTTTCCAGTAAATTCACGTGCGCTGCAAGTATCAGCTCCTTCGGACGCATTTTCAGCAGGTATGCTATTCTTAGGGTGATCAGTTCACATGAAACATTCAGTACTCACCTTCAAAATGTATCCGTAATAGGCGAGCGCAACGCCATTGTTGTGGTCGCTCTCAATGATCTGAAAATTGGTTCCATGAGCAGGAAGGCCTCAACCGATGTGGACTCATACATAATCCTATTGCAATATATGTAAATGAAACGATGTAGCACAGCGGTCATAAACCGAATATCAGAAATTCTAACCCTTACGCTATCAGGGGCGTGAAATTTCACTAAGGATACTGCTTATGCCCTCAAACTCCTGAATGAATGAAGCATTCGGTGCTGACAGAGACCTTTTCGGGATGCACCACGCATTCCTCATTTTAACATCGTGGCCACGTCTTGGAAAGCAACTTCGGACTATGTGCGGGAGCGGGCTCATGTATAAGTCATTGTTTTCAGCTCTTCAAGCGAGTTTGGTAACAACCATTTCACCCCAATGGGATGGATCATCTGGCTGGCCTGGACGGCATGCGATCTAAAATTCAATCCCTAAATTTTAGATCGTATGCCAAATTGTGCGTAGTAAGTAGCACTATTTGACGCCACACTACTTCCACTACCGGCACCACTCGAAATTTTACCGCAACTTAAAGCAATATAGATATATATATTTTGACAGCAATATTTTCAAGGCCTACATCGTGAAGGACTTTCTTAGCATCGCCTAGCCTTTTCATCTTGATGAAGGTTAGCGCTACATTTGTTTGATGCTCCACCTCGTCTGGAAATCTGAAACATTGAGCTTATTACTTTACAAGAAAGCACTATTCAAATATTAGAGAGTATTTTTTGTTCCAGTCCACCTCATTAATTATAATAAAATTGGATACCTGGAAACCAGCATTCGATGTGTCAGAAGTGACCTATAGAAATCGCCTCGAAAGCTGGACAGTTCAATGAGACGGGACGCAGCTTGTCTGGGTAATCACAAACAATTAATACCAGGATATCGTGGAACAAAGCAATTGAACTGAAATCCATGGCTATATAAGCTTTTCAGAATCAGAAGCTTTAATGGCCGCTGCATGAAGGGGCCGCACTACGCGACAATCACGCGTGCGATCGCAGAGCTTTTAGTCGTGCACGGAGACGAAATTCGTTGCGCCATGAACACGACTGATCAAGCGTAATTGTAATTGCGAAAGTGTACATGTGAGAAGTGCGCTGCATGCTTAATAGGTTTGTACATTCCGAATAGCTCACCGAAATAACGCATCTGGTGTTTCTTCATTGTCAAGAACTTGTTCGTATTCATGTATGGCACGGGAAAAGTCGCGATCACTGCTGGTTAGTTCTCCCCTGAAAGTTAAATTTGTTGTTCTTATACGTTAAAAATTGGTAGCTCTCACGAACCTGAGCTCGTAGCCTCTTCCTTTACCAAAGTGCGCTCTTGGTGAATCAGGTCTGGCGCGTAAAATGGTGTTGAAAATTGCAAACGCTCCATTGTAATCATGCTAAAAATGTGAAATCATTTTTTACTGCATTTTTTTACAGTAAGAGAAAAACACATTCAAGAAATAGGGATTAAAGAGCGTTTAAGACGTTTTAAAGACGGTTGTGGAAAGTCGAGCAGATGGCTCATAGCTTTTGCCTGCGTTCCATACAACATGGTATTAGATAGCTCTCATTGCTGATATCAATTTGATTAGACTCAAGAACGAGACACTTACCCTCTCCTTCAAAAAACCGGAAAGTGTGGGGTGCAGACCAAACACCACAACTGACGACGGCCTCCAAGTGAATCTGGTTAGTAGTGGTTCATAGTGATAGCCGATTTTTAGTAAATAATAGTTGTAATTAGTGTCAACTGATCGAATACAACTGTAACAGGTTAACCATTTCATTGGCAAAAAACATTCGCATTTTCTGGAAGCCGTCGTCACTTGGTGTATGGTCGGCACCCGACACTTTCTGGATTTTTGAAGGGGAGGGTACTTATGTGTAACAAGGGGCACCACGCTAAATCGTGCACATTTGATCGCGTGGCATCTCGCAGCATCACCGCCTTCAGCGGTTTTCGCGCCAACGAACCCCTCAAGCAAATTAGAACGCAGCGGCATGACCACATGTACGCGACGTCGCGCAGTGACTTATTACATCACAGAGACCAATAACTTTTAAGCTTTTAAGTGAATACTTCTTCAAAAATTCCTTTTGCCCTCTTACAAGGGGGTATTTCAGGGCAATGCGCTTTTTTTGAAACGTTTCTCTGTATATTGTAGCGACGCATGTATGGACCACGAAACCATATTTCATTTTCGCTGAACTGCTCTACTAGTACCAAAAAAGTAATGTGTATTACTCTTCATGGTTCAGTCCCCCGTGGCGACTAAATTTCGCAATCAGGGTTGACGGCTACTTTTGGTTTCGATATGGTCCTAACATTAACATGATATCTGGTTTTGGGATTGAGCACCAACCCATAGGCCAATACCCAAAGCAGATACGGAGGGCAGATTTGAGCTCAGCGTCTCCAGACGCGTACTTCATTTCTATTGGCCGGGTGGCCTGATGACCTTTCCTGGTGAGCCAGAACTTTGTCTTTAAGTAAGATCTTGTCTTAACCACAATCTCAAAATGCACTTAAATGAACTAGATAGAACCTCACTACTCTTACAAACTGAACTGCACTCGCAGTGGCGGTTTGCACTGTTCGATAAAGTAATCTTCATTTCTATAGTAAGGTAGCTGGCAGAATTTCCCTCATTTCTGTCTCTTGCATAAATTTGGAGCGACGCGTGCCATAATCGCTTTTTTCGTGCATTTGCTGCGATCCGACAACATAGTAATGACATATAACTGAACCAATGCTCCAAACTGTTAGTGGGGAAGGACAGAAAAGGGCGACAGACGAGCGTAACTGTTATAACATAGAGTTACCATTGGCAATTGGTGCTCTATTTAAGCACTGATTTCCTTGGCACCAGCCTTACTTCAGGCCTGGACTCCGATTTCCTACTGTCTGGGCCAGATTTCGTTTCTGGTTATGGAACATGCAGAAAAACTTGAATCATATCAAGCAGACAACCCAGCACGTTGGCAGTAGCCACTCAAGACTAGGAACTAGTAGTGGCACCTATTCAGGATTCTGTGATTCCCCAACCAGGACCTGATCTGGGCAAATCATTTGAGCAGTCCTTTCTTTACTTCGTTGTTATACACAGAGCAAACAAAACTATTTATTAGACACTTCACACTGAAAATTGAACAAAAAAGGAAAACATATTGAGCAAATCGACAAATTGATCACGTCAGACAAAGGCATATGTAACAGATAGACATCTGACGACTCTTTTTGAAAACCTAACACGTCACCCGTGACTGTTGTGCATACATTGAAGGCTTAAAGTGCTGGCCAAGGATCTCTTCACAAATCACACATGTAAAGCGTAAAAATGTAAAGTTAGTAGACAACAAAAACTCAAACAGAAACAATAATGGAATACTCTTCAGCAGTCCAAACAGGATTCCATAGATAGCAGCAACTGAAGAATAAAGCGAAGTTTTGGGGTGTAGCGCAGAATGTCCACCGCGCGACAAAAGTGTCAGATGACATCACTTTCTGCACCAGAAGGTACTGTATCTAGTCAAAATCATGAAATTAAGGGAAGTTCTCAAAACCCAAAGCATAAGAGTGAAAACTGAGCGAGAGCTGAATTTTTAATCCACGCGTGAACTGTATGGTATTCGATACAAACTATCAGCACCTAGTTGTTTTTTTACTGAATTGCTACACATCTGACTAGGATTCCTCTGCGTCTCTGCCCTTTGTTGCGCAGTGGGCCTCTTGCACCACACCCGAAGTCCTAGCAGTGCTGCAGTACTTATGAGTGAAATCTAATTGGAATCTTTTTTTTAGCCAGCAAAGTCATTTCAAGCGATCATTAGCTAGTGCTTAATTGAAAATTCTTCCATCTAGAAAGCATGGGAATACCGATGGAAACCAAATGAAAGATGACTTCTTGACTAGACGATAATGAAATCAGCACGCTACCAGTATGCACTACAATTCATCACGTTTTCTGTTCTTCCTAGAACGTTTGATCGTCACCTTTTCGACGAGATTATCGGCTCGATCCAGCGCATCACGATTTTTATGATCGTCCCGATTCGTTATTGCTTGACGCCTGTACGCTTCTCGTCCGCTAGTCCTTAAATAGCACTTCTTCTTACTCATGCAATAACAAAACCGATTTTCGACGAAATTATAAACATCTCCTTCCAACATTTTTGATTTCCTAACAGTCATGTTCTGTTTTGACAACATATTTCCACAATCGTCATAACATGTTTGCCGCTGTTCTGTGGAAAGGGGACCAGTCCTACTAGGGAAGGAGACCAGGTCGAAGTGGCCATTTGTAACGAGACATACACCACTAGATGTGTTTTTGGACACTTGTCCCAAATCTGCTCCCCAAATCTGTGAAACGGCTCCTTGAGCGTAGGTATGAGGCGAAATAGTGCAGTGCCAGCGGTGCAGCTCAACGAACGAGAGCTCGTGAGTTCAAGTTCATGTTGAGTTGTCACTTTTGCTCTTCTTGTGAAGGTTGTTTCAGGGACTCTTATCCATGTCAAGTTATTAGCGATTGTCTATAGCACAAGTAAACAGAGTTGGCGAAGAGCTTCAGGCACTGTGCGCGTCATTTGCAAGTGGCGGCCTCTGACACCCGTAGCGCACGCCTAAAGCAATTTCGTGACAAGCAGATGCGATGTTCGTGTTCAGTGCGTCGAAGCACCCCTTCCAAATTTGGTCCAAATCTAAAATTTTTACTCGAAGTCGAAAATGTGGGCAGTCATCTATCCATCAACCCACTGTCAGAGCCTGATCGTGGGATGGAATGAAAATTTCAGTCATTATTCTGAAAGAGATATAGTTACCTGCTCTTCTTGCTTACGCCATCTGAATATTAATATGATAATTTTTTCAATTATACGCTCGCTGCCGCTTATGGTAGGACAGCACGAGGGTAGTGGCTGGGGCTAGGGATAACACCTACGACTCCTGTCGACCAAGTTTCAAAATTGGCTCCTCTGCTTTCTAGAACTAAGTCTTCAAAGATAGTTTGGTCCGTTGAGCAAGCATCGCCCATTTGTTTAGCCTATCGTCGGATATGTGTCACTCCCGTGACGTAGAAACACCCCAACAGTGGTCGGAAACATTACTACAAAAGTGGTTGGTGCTTGAAGCGAGCCCCTTCAAACACGTAACAGCTTTGGATATAGTCTAAATTCAACACTAAATAGTTTTACATACCTATAACAGATCCAGTACAAAGAGCAAAAATCCAAGCCTAACAAGATCCCATCCATGGCCTTACCCGTGTAGGCCGCCAACACTACCGCTCGGCCAAGCCGCCGCTGGCGGGGCACTGCCGGAGTCTCTTACAGTGGGCTTTCATTCGAAACAACCTCCGCAACGCTTTTCAGAGAATCGTTTCGCAAATTTGGAGAGTGGATTTGAGATCAGCGTCCGAAAACACATCTCTGAGTATAGGTTTCATTACGGATGGCAACTTCGACTTGGTATCCTTCCCTTGTTAGATGGCAATAGTTTCTCAGTCTGGCTGTTGTCTGTAATCACAGGATAGTCATAGACACTGTTCTTCTCTCGTGCTCCACAGAAGAACTTAAAGGCAGCGGTTACGATGATTTCATGTCAATCTAATGTGAAAGTTCAGGTGTTGAATGGTGCGACAGTGGAAAGGAAACCAGAGGAGGTCGCCTACATTCCCGCCAATGGGACTTTAATTCCTCTAGATAATTTTGGACGAGTTTATAGCTAAGATGGAGGCCCTTTTGAAGGCAGCCCCAAAGAAAATGCTGCATGACAAGAATTATGAATGTGACTGAAGGCCAATGAGGTACCCCTGCAATGCAAAAAGCCAGAAGAAAGTCTTCAAGGACATGATTTCTGTCGAGACAAAAGGGCCTAGCGATACCTATGCACGGTACCGTATCTAGAAGGGGGTCCCTCGCAAATTCCGCAGGAAGTCTATCCAAGGTTTTGCCACCCTGTTACTAGAGGATAATCAGTATGAAGCAAAAATTTCAACAAGCTAGCTCAATCCCTTCATTTATCGTTACCATCGTTATCAAACCATCTAAGAAGCAGGAAATTTGACGACCATAGGCAACTTTGAAATTACCTTAGCTAATTTTTTTCACCTAAAATTCCAGAATTTCTATAGAAGCTGTATAAAAAGTTGCCAATTGAATGAAAATTGGTTTTAGTAGTGGTAGTTCATATATTCCCCATGAATAGTAAGGACGTTTGTTGTTGTAGGCTAAGAAATGTGAATAGGGATTGCTTATTTCTGGTTGCGAATTCGGATGGTACCTTACATGAGGCGTTCACTGGGTTTAGCATGCGGTGTTTTGTGAAGGCAGTAATGTAAAGTAATGTAAAACAAAGTAAGTAATGGCAAAAAACAAAATGTAAAGTAAGTTTGTAGATCAAATTAAAGGCTGTTGGTCATGGCCAGTAATCAAAACAATCGAGTCGCCCACCTGCATTGATTCGTCAAGTGGCTCCTTGCGTCTCTTACTTTTTTTCAGTGTTTTTGTTAGTTTTTTTTTGACTCAGCTCATCATTTTGATTCCAAAGGTTTGTGTATAGTGAAGACCACGGTGCTGTACAAATAGGGTGGGCACGACGCATTTTTTGAACAGAGAAGTGGGACTGCTGCAAGCTACTATACTGTCATGAGAATCGAAAAATTCGTGAGCCAGGGGGAGCGTAACCAGGGGGGGGTTAGGGTAGTCACTTGACATGTGTGAAAAGCTGAGCGTGCCCACCCCCTTCCCCTCTTGTATAGAGCCAAGACCATCCAAGACGGTTTTGGCTCACATTCTTCCAATCTCCTGACTGCCTGTTTACCCGAAATGTAGCCTGACTAAAGAGGTTCTTCCAGAGGATTAATGTTTCTCGTGAATGGGCCGTCTGATGGATCACCAATCCCCACCACAAAGACAAGGGCAACAGGATCGAGTTAAATGTGGTCAGTTTACTTCTCGACCGTTTTAATTATAATAGTAACATCTACCAGAATCTACGTTTACAAGAATTAGCGACGGCTGTCGTGTAGTTAGGGGGGCCCCAGGCGCCAAGTGTTCAAGGCATTTAACACGCTCAAGCATAGTTCTGGGAAGGGGTGGGATCTTTGTGACAGCTGTCGAGATTATCCCCAGTGTTGATGGTTTCATTGTTATGAATGCGAAAAAAATTGCAAAACTGCAGTCTTTTCATTGTCGGTGGGGGAATGGTTTTTTTTCAGATTGTGACATAATGTGAAGCGGTAAGGAGATTCAAGGGATTAAAGCTCTCTCTTGTGTGAGATTTATCTTGGGATGTCACTAATTAAAAAATCGGTCCACTTGGCATATTGTGCGCATAAGCGAACTTTCAGCCTCGAAAATCTATTTGTACAAAATGTTAAGTGGCTCCAAATTAGCGAATTCACTATTGAAGACTTCATGTGTCAACCCAAGAGGGAATTCGTAAAGAATAAGGTCGACGGCAGCGATAAAGCAGATGAGCCAGCTGATAAGAGATCCTCAACGCGAACGTATTCCGGGGCACTGAATAGAGAAAATGGGAAGGTCCGAGAATGGAAAAGCCCGATGTTTGCCAATAACCGATACTGATGGAACAGAAATATAAAAGCCTATTAAATTTTACACATATAAATATAATTATCTAAAAATAGAGCAAGTGGAATAACGGGAAAGGCTAGATTCAAATTGAAAAAAGCAAGGAACCAATCTTTGTAGTTGGACCATGGAAAATGAGGAATTTTAAATGGGCGTTTTTCCACTGACAGGAATACACCATGGCAATATCCCATACAAAAAATGCTAAGAAAAAATATAGTAATAATATATTTTGTTTCAAGCAGTTGATGTATCAGAATTCAAAGAATGTAAAATTTGGAAGCCGTTTTTTTTTCAAAAGTGGAATCCAAGTGATCAATATTTTTGGGACCTATACGAAAAGAAACAATACGATCAACATAGTTGAACGTATAAAGCCAAAAAGTCATACTAATGTACAAATAAATAGATACCTCTGCTTGGTGAGGGCGACTTCAGTCTGCTTGGTTTGAGGTGGGATAGGTTCATCGTCATCATCGTCATCGTCATCGTCATTATCCTCGTCATTCTCAGCACTCTCTTCCCCTTCATCGTCCTCAACTTCAGCTTTCGAGCCCTTAAATTATAGCGGTGATGTAGGATATATCACTTTTAGAATCGATGCTCTAATAAGCGACTAATCACTTTGTTTTTCCGCTTCAGTAGCGAAATCCTTGGGCCTGCTCCATATGAGGGAGGACAATGCTTACGCTTGCACTCACGTTCCGGAACAGAGTCGGCCATTAGGTGCCTGAGAAATTGTTGATAAACTAAGAGTTAGAAACTACCTACACCTGGTAACTTCACTTTGGGAACATTTTTATCACAATCAGAGATCTTACAGCAGCTAGCCAGGCCTTATGAACCCTCTATAGAATGGGTTGGAAGTGGCACTAACAAGTGAAGACACAAGCGAGTATCGAATACAACTACTCAGTGATACCTCAACAGTGAGCCAAACACATTTCGAGAGTGCTGTTTGTAAAATTGAAGTTAATGGTACGAGCAAGCATCATCAACTGGGGTGAGGCACGGCACCAAATACGACTTCCTTTGTCGAAGACACTTCGACAAAGGAAGTCGTATTTGGGTTCCCTGAGAAGGGGCTCGTGCTGAGTGAAATCGAGAGAGTACTTCCGGAAGGGTAGATTGGCTAGGGTGAGAAGAGCTTTCGGAAAAGACGAATACGCGCTTTCGAGAAATTTTTGCGACACTTTTAGAAATTCTGGAAATTCTCCAGAAATTTTGAGAATTTATCAGTTCTACAGTAGTCGGTATCCCTGCTAAACTCAGCAGACTAGGTAGGTAAGGGAAGAGCTTAGAAACAAAAACGATCCTGGGGTCTGGATGGAGATCATGTCAGGCTACTTGGGGATCGTATGAGTCAAGCCTTTCCGACATCCGGCTAACCCCGCCAAGAACTTAATTAGAAAGGCTATTTCCAGTAGTTGGTACGTGCAATCAAGTGTTAACGATCCCAGGTCCAACTATATCTTACCGAAAACCATGAGTCTTCATTCGGCGGTGATGTCGCTGATCATCGGTATCGGTTGGGGCCTTCTCTACCTTATCAGCTTCATGTTCTTCTTTAGAGGGTTCAACAACATCGTCTTCTTGTTCCTGAAGCTTTCTTCATTTTGTGATAAATATATGAGATAAAAAGAGAAAAAAACAATCAAACAGTCGGCAGTCATGGGAGCTTACCTCTGGCTCGGGACGTTCTTCATCCTTAGGCTCATCATCTTCTTCCAACTCAACCTCATTTTCATCCTGATCTTCCTCTTCTTCTTCTTCCACTTGTTCTTCTACCACCCGACGCTTGCCATAGGATTTGTGACGCTGCAATTAGGTCATTCTTTTCGATGATAGGGCTGAAGAGAAGGTGAGGTTCACATTTCGAACTCGGGGCATTTTCATTCAACCTTTTCGAAATTACAACAATGGGTAGCTTGCAAAGACTTACAGAAGTTTATACGAACTACGGCGTAAGTATATAAGAGTATATAAGAGCGTAAGTATTTAAGAGCACGGAGATGGACGCATTGTACGAGAAGTTGGAAAGCAGGAAAGCAGAGAAGTCTTCAGGCTGGCTAAGGCCCGCCATCAAGCTACTCAAGACATCAGGGTGGTGAAAAATGTAAAAGACAGCGATGGTGTCATCCTAAGAAAGCCAGCCGAAGTCAAGAGGAGGTGGGAAGAGTACTTCACGGGGCTTCTGAACGAGGAGCTCCCCCACAAGAACGACTCACGGGCAGAGGCCGCAGCTGGTCCCATCGCACTCTGGACCAAGGATGAGGTTAGGCGTGCACTTGGGAGGATGAAGATTGGAAAGGCGGTTGGCCCAGATGGGGCGCCAATCGAGGCATGGAAGGCGCTCGGAGAGTACGGCATAAAGTGGCTCACTAGCTTCCTGAGCTTGGTAACAGTGGAAGGAAAGATGCCGGATGCATGGAGGACAAGCACCATCGTCCCTGTCTTCAAACAGAAGGGCGACGCAAAGAACTGCTCTAACTACCGCGGAATCAAGTTGACTGCGCATACCGTGAAGCTGTACGAGCGGCTGGTCGATAAGAAGCTGCGGGACCTCGTCCAGAACTCCCAGGAACAGTTCGGGTTCATGCCGGAAAGATCTAATCTACAACGGATGCCATCTTCTTCGCAAGGCAAGTGATGAAAAAGCATCGAAAAAAACGCCGACCCTGCTACCTAGCCTTCCTCGACCTGGAGAAGGCGTCCGACCGGCTACCGCGAGCAGTGCTGTGGGGGAACGAAATGTCGCAGAACCCTATCCTCGCTGTAAGGGACATGTACGAAGGAGCCAAAGCAGCCATACGCACCCCACACGCCCTAACAAAAGAAACAAACATCCACGTTGGGGTGCATCAAGGTCAGCTTTGAGCCCCTTCCTGTTACTCCTAACGCTCGATACCAGGGCCTCATGGAGGTTCACATGAAGACCATCCTCTACGCTGACGACATCAGCCTGATAGCGAATAGCAGGGAGCACTTCAAGCCAAGGTGCAGAGATGGCAGAATGTCCTGGCAGGAGGCGCTCCGGTTGGATGTCAAGAAGACAAAGTCTTGAGCTCCAAGGAGGGTGCAGAGCCGATCGTAGACGGCCATGGTGAGACCATCGAAAAAGTGGAGGTCTTCCGCTACTTTGGGAGCGATCTGGCAGCCGATGGTGGTGTGGATCAGGCGGTGAAGGCTCGAGTCAAAGCTGCGCTGATGAAATGGAGGGAGGCCACTGGAATCCTCTGTAATCGAAGTGCTCCAGAACGCTCAAAGGAATAGTGTACCGAACAGTAGTCAGGCCTGCGATGCTGTACGGCAGCGAGTGCTGGCCCCTGAGCAAGAACCACGAAAGGCAGCTTCACTCCGCTGAGATGAGGATGCTGAGGTGGGCGTGCGGCTGGACGCGGCTGGACAGGGTTAGAAACGAAGATGTCAGAGCGGTCATGCAGACTGCCCCTGTCCAGCTGAAAGTACGGGAACAGCGTCTACGATGGTATGGACATGTGATAAGGAGGCCACAGGATCATCCGATAAGAACAGCGATGGACTTCGAAGTGCAAGGCAAGCGACCGCGAGGAGCCCCAAAGAAGAGGTGGAGAGATGTGATCAAGAAGGATCTAAGTGAAGTCATGGCCACAGCAGAGGACGCTCTGGACAGACTTAAGTGGCAACGATGACAAAGACAGCGGACCCTGCGACTGCGCGGGACTAACGCTAGGGAGAATAAGAAGAAGAATGTAGGTAAAAGTGAAATTAATTGTCGCCTGGTGTTCAAAAATATTTACCTGCGTTGGTACTTCAACTTTCACACGAGCTTCCTTCTGCTTTTTTCGTTTAGTTCGCTTTTGAGGAAGTTGTGGCTCTCCATAGTCATCCTCATTTTGAGCCTCATGAATGGTTTCTTTTTCCTGCACATTCAAGGGAAATTTCAGGCTCAACGAAATAAACGAGAATTCATAAATATAATATGATAAATATAATATGCATATCAAAGTAGGGTACTCGTACAATCAACCAAATAAGCATCAAAACAAAAATTCTAACAGCTTTTTTGGGCTTTTTGAGTCATCGGGAAATCTTACAAAGCTTTCTTTGTTTTACATCGTTCATCTCGGAAGCGCTGACGAAAAATATCGGGGAAAAATTATTGGTTTTTGCGGCTGTCCTTGGTAAAAATTCTATTTCGAACTCGGAGCACATTGAACCGTAGTATTTTCCAATTCACAAAACTGAAATTTATTGAATAGAAGTAAACGTTGTATGAAACGTACCTTGACATAACTTTTGACCCGCTTTATGTTGTTCTCAATTTTTCTCCGTAGACCCGCAAATAATTGATCTTCTAACGGTTGAGTTTCAGTATCCTCATCGTCATCAGCTAAAGTTTAATGGATTATAACCAAAAATCACAAGAATAGTTGGCAATCAATCAATAGTTGCTTGAGACCACGAATCTGATGAGTACGACTCGATACGTGTGTTTTGAGCAACATTACCTGTTTGTTCCGCAGAATCCTCGGCAGAGTCGTCACTTATATCCGGCCTGAAAATACATTTGAATAGCTTGCTCTGATGGCATCAAACTATTAAGAGTAATATCTAAGTTGATTCTGAGCGTGTTTAGAACGTACTCAAGACAAGACATTCCTAGAGCTTTATTTCGAATCGCGGTAGGGCGGACTTACCCCCCTCGTCCCACAATCTGAAAGCCGCTGTAATGTCATCAACAAAGTCATTTTTTCGTAGATAACAAAGACACGACGCAGCCACTTAGCCCCATTTTCAGCATTTTTGCGTTTTGAGTAGGAGCACTGACCTTGCTTGATACTGATCGTCTACTGTGGCCAGCAACCGATATGCTGAACTGACTTCGAATCTAGATCGATCGTGTTTCATTCTCAACGAACCCTAGACATTGTACCTCCTGTGGTCCTCCCAGCAAAGCAGGTGAACGAACCTCGAACGAATGGTCGAACGAAGTAAGGCCATGACAAAATACCTAGCAAGGGTGCAGAAGAGATCGCTTAATCAGCGTGATTACTATCCTCGAACGGACGCGCGAATGCTTGCCGCTGACAGACAACTTTTAAGAAAGTAGCTTTCTAAGAGAAAGTAATGAAAGAGAAGTGTTTCAAAGAGTATGGCCATTTAAATTTTGGTCGATTGTTTCATGGAGTGGGTCACGAAGTAAGAACTGCAGCCGCACGGCGAAGGTGGTGCGGCAAAAAGTGTCGCGCGCTTCACCTGATGATTTGCAGGGCTACTGGTTCAGAGCTGTAGCATGGAGCCCCAGATTGGGCTTCGCTGCAACCTCCATGCTCTGCCGCTTGCATGGTTGCGCAAGCAGGATACGAACGCCGTACCGCTATTCATGCATTTCCCGTATATAATGTGGGACACGTGACAGCAAGAATATTCCAAGTAACGGTTCATTAAGCCCTGAAGAGTGTACGGCTGTCATGTAGGAAACGACGAGAAAAACGGCAACAAAGTTCGCCCATTAGATACTAGTCAGGGAGGAAGCAATCAATCATTTCCATGATTAAGAAGAACACCCTTGGGGGTCTGGCAACCTGAGCCTTGCAGCTTGGCAAGGGAGCATACATGAAAACTGCAACCAAGGTCCAGAAGGATGATTTTTCTACCGACTTCAAAAAAGTGAACATGTATTTTTTCGAACGCATCTAGACCCAACACTAACCTGCGGTTGTCTGGTAAAACTTCTGAATAACTGTCATCATCCCCTATATCTTCTTGACGATCCCTGCGGACGCCTAAACAAACAGTGACACAACATAATACTGTTATAAGCATTTTGATGATTAAATTATTATAGACAACTTAAAGCAGAATAAGTAGTGAGAAAAACAAAAACAACATAAATCATAAGAAGTAAAAATACTGGAATATTAATAAATAAGAAAAGATTCCTGAAGTTTGAAATTTTGTTGTGATGAATATCGCAATAATGATTTTCGTTGTGCATGATGTACATGTATAGCTAAATTAAAGCGCTTCGAGCGTCTCTAGGGCTTTATTTATTTAGTTGAAGAATAAAAAATATCTATTTATTTACCTGATTATTATTTCTTTATGCGTTTATGAACGCA